CATGGATTAGTTTATATATGTATGTAGATGTATATATATATATATATATATATATATATATATATATATATATATATATATATATTTATATATGTATATATATATTTTTTCTTTGTGTGTGAATATAAAAAAAACAACTTTAACAGGAAGGTTACTCTACTTTAAGTTAATTTAAAGTTAATAAGATGGAGAGGGGGTATGAAAAATAAGTTTTACTTTTTCATATCCCTTTTTATAAAATTTACAATAATCGATATCAGTTATTTGGCTGTATATACTGACAGGTTTATCTGGTGGAGGGTTTTGTTTCTATTTATGTTCAGGTGAATTTAGTTATTTTGGAAATTGGGGTTTGGTTTGGTTGATGTTATCTATAGTCTTTTGTGTGTATTTGGTTGATTCATTTATTGTTGTTTTTCAAATTGTCTGAAATAAATTCCTATTCATTCATTCATTCCTGTGACTTTTGGACCGTGATGTGGCAGGATAAGGGATTGCAATCATCCACTGTCAAGTGCTCATGCAGGAGAAAATAATTATGCTAGTCAGTAAGTGGATGCAATCTGCTGGGGTGTTTTACTGCACATGACTTGAGAATTATGATCAATTTAAAATAACGTGGAATCTGTCTGTGGGCAGAGAAGCCAGCCTTCATCATGCTCTTTCTGGTTTGTTTAAAGAGGAGGACCTTAATAAGCTAAGCCTCTCTTTTAAACAGGTGACCAAATGTGTATGATAAACTACAATTTTGATGAGTTACTCCTCAAACTGATTAAGTTTAAGTCATGTATTTTATGTGTGTATGTTTAGGTTAATAGAAACTGACACAATGAGATTTGCTTTCCATAAAAAAATAAAAGCTTTGATTTTAATACCCAGTTTAATTTGCAACAGGTAAATATTACAAAACACTTGCCCAAAGTTGTTAAATGTTTAATTAGATAAAGGATATCACAAAAAAAGCATATGTAGAGCTTTGCTTATAATATTCCTACATCTCATTGCTGATATTCTATATCAGTGATTCCCACCCAGGGGTATGCACACCCATAGTGGAGCACCAGTATATTGCAAAGGGTGTATGAAAATATTTCATTTCTTAGGTAGTGAAATAAAATGGGCCTGGCATCTGTTTTCCTTTGTGAGGAACCACATAAAAATAAAACAAGCTTTTTTTTTCCAACCAAAAAGTAAGATTTTTTTTTTTTTTTCATCTTCAGCTTTGACACATTTAAACCAGGCAGAGGAACAGCCTGGTATCAGCTGTTTTTCACACTGAGCTATCAGAGCTCATCAAAGCAGCTCAGGTGTTTTGATGAAAACAAAGCAAAACTAATAAAGTCAGTCTGACTTTAATTTTGTTCCCATAACATCAAGTTTAAATCTGATTATAGGGCAGTTACTCAGAGGAACTCTAGTTTTATATTATGATTTATTTTGTATTTATTTCAATTTCTTACTAACGTCTAGGCAACATATTTATGTGTTTTTATTTGAGATGGAAAGAATAAAATTTTAAAAATAAAACGCTCAAATTAAAAGATTAAGTAAAATTGTGTTTCAGTTATTGTCCCTTCCACTTTTGGACAATCATTAATACTTTTGATTACTCATGGTAATACAAAATGCCCAAAGGGATACACAATTCTACAGCATATGATCAAATAAAGCAATTAATATCTAACTTTTCTTTTTTTTTAACTATTAGTAGTTACTTTCATAGTGAAATAAAATTTCCACTCATTTCAGGCCAACAAGCTACAAACAGCAGAGGACTCCATTGTTATTTCTGACTGGTAGAAGCCCTCGGGTTATTTTTCCTCTGTCTTGAAACAAATCAATTAAGTACAACTCACTTTGAACAATTGCACATTTACTGAAATCAGATGTGGGCTGAGGAGCCAGCCGTCATCACACTCATTCTTGTTTGTTGACAGAGCAGGACTTTGATAAACAAGCTTGCTCTTTTGAACAGGTGCCCAAGCATGAGTTCAGTTTCTAAAAGGCATTTCAGAAAAACGCACTGATTAGAGGATGTTTGTTATTCTCCATGCAAGCATTTGGATTCTGCAGATCATTCCCAAAGTAACTCAATGACTTTGCTATTAAACATATACCATTTTTTAACCCCAAATGCAGCAAACAAATAGAGGTGGGTGATTTAAAAACTTAAATATAATTATTTAATCAATTTATTTGCTCTAGCCATTAAAATGTAACTTTATACTGAGGTCAGCATTGAACAGTTTTATTTAGTCAACGTTGCCCTCAAGTGGTTTTTTTGCAAGTTGCATGAAATTTCCATTTAATTTCAAAAATAAACATAACATAAAACCTAGCTTTTGGTCCTATCGAAAAGGTTTTGATCACATCATTCTTGATAAATGTAAAGTTTTCTTTCTTAACTGAGGTATTACCAGGCACTGAGTGTGTTATCACTGGCAGCTCTGCAACATGCAGTCGAGCCAGTTCACAAACTCGCCTTATCCTCTCTATCAACATATGGGAGTGCTTTAAGGCTCCTATCTGCTAGCAGCAAATGGTCTTAAATCAGTCATTTTAATATCAAAGCACTTAACACTAGAATGATGATTACTTGCAGGTGGAAAGCCATGCTGCTTGTCAAGACTGCATTTGAAGAAAATGACTGAGCTCTTATCCGACACGTACAGTACTGCCAGTGTTCAATACGCAAGATCACATTACAGAAGATTACTTTGGAGTTTCAGCAATTTTCCCAAATTACACTGGCCTTTGGTCTCTGCTAAACTTGATTGACTTGAATGGTTTTCATTAGTAGCAGAGTGTTTGCTGTTGATGCTGGTACATAAGAGGAGAGGCATTTTTTTTGGGAGGGGGGTGAGTGGGTGCAGCTGCTGGGACACTGAAAGTGGACAGATATGCAAATCCTTTTTCTTGGAAATGCTTCATCATGTTTTAAAGGGAAACCAGACCGTGCTTTGATTTGTGACGCTGATCTGTTTTTCAAAGGCCTGAAATGTTCCCACAACATTTAACCCATGTCCTCTCGTTCATTATGATTTTAAAATTCAACCTCTGAAGTTAATAAGTCCAACCAGGCTCTCACAATGTAAGACACAAACTGAAAACATCAGATTTTCTAATGGCTCTAGTTGGCATTGTCAATAAAACAAGCGTCTTATGGATTAGTTTGTCATGTTTGAACTTGGGTCCACCCTTCTGCTGTCTCTTCTTATCCACACACTGAAACTTGAGAAATGGAAATCAGTTAGATGTCACAGTAAGCCTGAACACAAAATGACAAGAAAATAGCCATGAATAACACTGACCACCCTTGTTACCCTCTTAGAAAAATACTTTAAAAATGGATCTAAAATGAAGAGCAGTCCACGCACAATGTTTATCAAAGCCAGAGGTCCTCCTTGCATTCTCTGCAGCTATTTGGCTTTAACTGCTGCCTCCAAGCTGAAATCCAAGAGTATCTGTAAGGAATTAAAGCATTGTGTCCTATCCTTCTACAGATTGCGAGGCTATGCTTTCCAAACCCAGTGCATACAATACTCATTAATATCCCAAACCTGATTGTTCTCTGTCATTCTGTATTAATTTGATCATGGTAACAGATACGCAGCTGATGTTGGATTAAATTACTGCGTTAATAGGGATCTCCAGATGTTTCTCTGCATTTTAAGACAGATGTAATGGGTTCTCAGCACCATCTTGAGGAGGCTATGTGATACAGCAAGAAACTCACAAGCCAAACTTGTTGCAGGGTTCAGGTTTAGCTGAGGTTCAGTCTTTAGTCAAACACATTTGAAATGATAGATTGGTGCTGATATAGACAAATTAAGTCAAGGAAAAGTTAAATTATAGTAAAATAATATGGGCTTTTTAAAAAATGTTTTTGAAGACACACACATACATATATCTATACATACGGTATATATATAAACATACATACCAACATACATACATACATACATACAGCAGATACCTAAAAACCTGGGATTAAAATGTAGTTTCTGAAGTCCAAACCTCTAATAGTGTTCAAGGAGTGTGATCATATAAGTGTTTTTGTATAGTTTCCATCATAAAAGCAGATTACCAAAAAAGCGATATTGTGCAATAAGTAAACAAGAGGGTAATGTAACAAAGCAACTCACAACAGAGGTATGAAAAGAGGAAATTTTAATACCAAGTTTGTGTTTAATGAAGTGGGAGCTAAAGCTGCAGAAGCTACGGATGCATGATTAAGTGCTACCAGCAAGATGAAATCGAATATAATAATGTTCATGTCTACTGCTCAAAATGGGTGCAAAAAACTGTGAGGCTCAAAAAGGACTAAGTAGACATTATCAGGGTGAATGCTTGGTGTACATGGATTTATTTTGACATGAATATAGGGTCTTTGATGGGCTTTTATCCTAGAGACAGAGAAAGAGACTAGGTATCTAACCCTTAAATATTAAATGTATCCATTTAACACCTTCAAACATGGTGACTAATGTTTAACCTTTATTCTTATCCTTTTTACACCTTCACAGGAAATCTTGTCAAAAATAATGATGTATCCTTTATGTGGTTTACAGAGTTTATTTGAGCAGATCCATTTTTAGTCAAGTATTTTGTTGTCACCATTTGAATTTGGTCTCAAACATTAAAAAACATCACCTAATTTGCACTTGTGCATTTCCAATAACAGAGGAATAATATTACATTGATTCTACAGTGTTGAATCAAACCAAAAATATCCCTTCATATACAGCAAATATAGCTGTGCAAAGATCCATTGTGTTACATAAATGCATGTAAACTTTATAGCCAGATATATGGATATTAGAAAGCACCGTGGAAGGATATTCAGCTGTCAAATGTCTCCATTATTGGAGATTATAATACAGAGGCTGTATCCTTAATCTCCGGAAGAACACAAACATATGAGATACAGAAAGTAGAAATACTTTTTTCTTCTATCTTTTACGCAGAAAGAGAGCAATGTAAAATAAGTTGTTTTGATATAAAAAAAAGACAACAACTTAGTGTTTAATGCCAAATTCAACAACATACACCATAACCTACATGACAAAGCTTGAGATGATTGTATAGCTGCAGCTGGCTATGCTTTGATGCACAGCATTGCATCCAGGAGGTTGTCTGTGTACTTTACTTGTGTTGTTAGAAAACCATGACGCTTTAAAAGACGACTGTACTCTGCCGCGCTTCGCTGTTTCCCCTCGCTCATGCTGAGAGCCTGCAGCAGCCCTCGACTCGGACCGCTTCTGTTTTCATCCAGAAAGATCTCGCTCAGCAGGAGGCCACAGCCTGGCAGCAAAAGTATATGCAAACAAGAAACTTTAAAGCATACTGGTAGTTAAGCATTCACTGATGCATTCTGCATTAACATATAACACTACGAGTGACTAGGCATCTTTTAACTTGGTTGTTTCCTAAGACAGTCACGAAAAGAATAAAATAAAATCTAAAGAGAATCAAAATAAAAAGACAATAATCAAAATTCAAATACACAATAGAGCAGAGGAAAAAACCTAAATCACAGCTACGAAATACTGTGTGGTTACCAAAATGGCATACTGCTATTAATTTAACTAAGGGCCGGATCTATCAAAGGTTTGCGTGTGTTAAAACGTGAGCTATTTCACTGCGCACGCTAAAAAATGTACAAACTGATCTATCAACAGCGTGCTAAAAGCATTTGGTCTTTAAAACGTGCTAAATAGCGCCTCTGATCCATTTAGTACTTTTTCTGCAATGAATATGCAATATGGGGCGTTTACACGCTAAAGTGCGTCTTGTGGGAGGAGAACATGTAAATATATTAATTTAGCACTCGCAAAGGGATTTATCAAACTTGAACGCAATTTTGCTAACGGTATCTGACTCTATATTTAACACGTTTCAAAAGAAGGTGCAAATGGTCTGTATGCGTAATTGCGCACACATGGCAGCGGTTATTGTCGCAAGAAGGAGACATCGAAATAAAGCAAGGAGACGCAGAGAACGCATTTTTTCACTCCGTGTGAATATTTTTGCAATGAACGTGGAAACGATCATCAAAACATATAGTTTATCCAGCATTGCCATTTTGGAGCTGTTGGGGGAACTCCGAATGGATTTGGAGCCAGCCACAAGGAGGACCCACGCAATACCAGATATCACAAAACTCCTTGCAACATTGCACTTTTTTGCATCTGGGTCATTCCAGCGTACGGTTGCAGCGTGAGCTGGGATCTCCCAATCTCGTTTTTTCAAAAGTGCTGTCCGACGGGGTCGGGGTTCTCCCCCTGCGCCTGTGGAGCAACGTGCCAAATGCTGCGGGGATCTCATCCACAGTCACAGGCCAATACAAAACACCGGGTTTTTTTTTTTTTTTTTTTTTACTGCAGCACATACCACCTTAGGGAATAAAGGTTGCCAATTTATAAATATATATATATATATATATATATATATATATATATATATATATATATATATATATATATATATATATATATATATATATTTACTTATTTTTTTTTTTTGTTGGGGGTCACTGTAAGATTTAAATTTCTTAATGCACTAGTTTGCACAAACTACAAACTACTTTGCCGCAAACCACAAAACGCGCAAAACCATCATTTAAATAGGGCGTCTCCAACAGTTTTGCACCTTCCACCAGTTACGCAATCACTCTTGTTAAATCACCCGCAAACCATGGTTCAGCCCCTCGCACAAAATTCCAGTTTGCGAGCGCAAATTACTGCACGCAAAATTGGATCTTGATAAATCCGGCCCTCAGTGTGCAAAATAGGTGGGTAACTGGAGACCCACATTTCCATAAATGTGGTCTTCCAGTTTCCATTTTTGAGTCGGCTGGAGATAAAGAATTACCACCCTAGCGCGGGAAAAAAAGGAATAAACTTGCAAATAACAGTATGGTAAACAAAGTATTCACCAGATTAAAAAAAAGCAAACTAACAAAGAAGCAAATAATTTTAAGATTTTAAATATTTAAACTTTTTGGATTTTAAAGATCAATAGGAGACTAATGCTTATATTGGGTGAGGGAGTGGCGGCCTAGTGGTTAGGGCATTGCGCTTGGATCCCAGAGGTTCAGAGTTCAAGTCCCACTCCCACGGACTTCCACTATGGGTCCCTGAGCAAGACCATTAACCCCCACACTGCTCCCCAGGCGCTGCACAATGGCAGCCCACTGCTCCCCAACGGGATGGGTTAAATGCAGAGAGTGAATTTTGTTACTTTGTACTTGTGACAGTATACTGTAATGATAATAACGTTTGATTGTATTCTATTCATTCTTATATTAGTTATAACAATCTATGAGCTTAAAAAAAAAGAAAAACTACAAACTGTTTGCTTTAAATTTCATAATTTTTTCGTACCTGGAGTGCATGCATCTGAGATTTTCCTCAGCAGAACATGTAGCTTCTCATCAGTCAGATCATGGAGAATTCTCACCAGGATGTATAAGTCTGCTTTTGGCAATTCATCTTTCAAAAAGTCTCCTGTTCAAACAGTATAAGAAAGGGCATTTATGGTCACAAAGTGAAGCTGTAATTAAACAGCATTATAAACATTGTATAACATCTAGTATTTAACCGACAGTTAAGAGATAACTGACCTGATTTGAAGGTAACCCTTTCTTCTGTGTGCTGCTGGAAAGGTTCACTCTTCTCCACAACAGAGGGCAAGTCAAGCACGGTTACAGTAAGTTCAGGGTGGATTTTAATCAGCTCATATGAAACGGCACCAGTACAGCCTAGAAAAACAAAGAGTGCCAGTAGATGAATGCGTTCCTACTTTAAAACAATGTAAGGGTTTCATACCTCCCACGTCGCAAGCTGTTTTGTACTTAGAGAGGTCAAAGGCCGCTGCCACAGCAGTAGCTGCAATTTTAGCAGAGCTGTGCATGGCATGCATGAATCTTAGTGTGGCTTCTTCGCTGCTACAAAGAGAGTCCTTTAGATACAGACATAAAGGCAACATGTTAGGCTTTCACTGAGGATTTTATCTGCAATGCATGAATCCTATTCCAAACTTTAAGGTAATCACCTGACTGATCTCTTTGAATTTCTTGACCTTCTCTCGCTGGCTGGTTCCCTCCTTCACAGCACTCTCAAGGTGGGAGAAAAGAGGCCATATATTATCGTTACAGTGCTGAATGTAGGCGTGCAGCGAAAAATTGGCATCTGAGCGCAGGAGACGTGTGGCCAGGTCTGTGTTCTCAAATACAGGTTTTGGGCATTCTGCTAAAAATAGAATTACATGTGAATCTCAGATGAGAAAAATCATTGAAACATTAATTTTTATTAGTAATTTAAGTTACCGTAAAATTAAATTTACTATGTACACTCAATTTTATATATTTCATTTTGTAGCCCATGTCTTGGGTCCTAGTCTTATTGCACAATGTTGATCATTTTTTCTATTTTTCCTTTAATTTTTTTTCTATTTAAGTTCTTTTCTTTTTTTTTAAGTTTTGAATTTTTATGCAGTCTATGTGTTTTGTTTTTTTATTTAAAACCACACTCTTTATGAACCCGACACTAATGTCAACCAGATTTTTCCATTTACTCAACTTTTCATTAATAAGTGTTGGTACAGAACTTTAAAGAACCAGTTTCTTTACCAACTAATTTGTAGATAAAGAAGGAAACACACTTGGTCATATAAACTCACAGCAATTACATCTAGTTGAATGAAATAATGACGGGTAAATCGATGGTGATTTTCTGTAACTGATCCCACATCCCTGATCTATCATAATCTGACCTACTCAGCAATTTGAATGGAATTTCATGACTCAGACAGATTAGGAGACAATGTGCACCTTTGGGAAAATACAACCTAACATTTCTAATTTGCGAGATAAACCAGCTAGGTTTGTCCCCATGCAGGTGAGTCCAGAAGCACACAGCAAACATTCTGTGTGTGTATACAGAAGGTTTGTAGATTAATAATTAGTAAAATATTTTTTACAGACGTTAGGAGCTCTTTAGTCCAGAAAACAGATAAAGGGAAACAATAATCTCTTGAGCTTACAGAGCTGTAACTCCAGCTTTACATTTACTGCCTGGATTATTTATGATGGGGGAATTTCCTACACATACACTCCCATTAATACTCATTTTCCAATCTGATGTTACATAGAGGGACCCATGCAGCCAGTGTGACATAGGTTTTAGATTTAGACGTAAGCAATGTGTTTTAGCCTTGACCTTCATGGGGAGGATGTCAATTACGTTTGATTTTTGGAGTTATGATTTTTAGTTTAGCAAATTTAACTTTTTTATTAACTATAAGCAATAAATACATGTTGAATATACTCAAAGATGTGGCAGGTCTATTGTGCTGGTAGTGGAAAGCAAAGGTTGGAGAGTTTGCTATAGGTGGGGAACGTGGACTTCTCCAAAAAATACAGATTTCTTTTAGCAATAGTCCTTTTTATCAGATGATGCATTCCATTATTGAAAATACAGTATTTTAAATGATGGTAAAAAAAAAAAAAATTCACCAAAATAAACATGAAAAAATATTAGTTATATCGCTCCATTTAATTCCTCTGTATAATAATGAAGGAGTTTTTAACTAAATTCCTGACACACATTTTTTTAACTTTTATATGACAGAATAAATGGGATCCACTTGCATCTAAATAAGATGATTCAATACAATCTGCATATGGAGAGGAATGACTAACTTGTATCTTTGGTCTTTATCAATCCCAGTGACACACAAGCTTCCAGCAGCGTCTCAGTCCCTTTCACAGAGGCTTTGATCTCCTGGGAAACCTGCTCTGCATCCAGCCCAGGCTTTCTGTGTAGCAGGTCGAACAAGCAATACTTGGATGCTGTAAAGAGTGCCTGAGGCATTTTGGGAAAATAAAATAAAGACGCATAGATTATAAGGTACTACAGTATTCATAACAGCATGGTACATTAGGTAGTCAGTAAAAGAAGAACCACAGAAAGATTTGTAAACACACTCAAATAATTGCATAGATTGTATTTTCCTGCTCAGTTCTCTTCTCCCCTAACTTCAAAATGATACCCAGTAAATAGAGCCAAACAATGTCTATTAAAGGAGCCCAAAACCAGGATAGAGTTATCATTCTGACTGACCAATTACAAATCTGCCATTTTCTGAAAAGGTTTCTGATGCAACAACCACTTCCTTTGGTAATAACAATTTGCAGTCTAAAGGAATTTATCAGCGGGTTTTACATTGAGAGAAAATCTCTGTTACTTTAAATGTACTTAAATGATGCCTTGTCTGTTGACGCCCAATAAAAAAAAGTTGAGCTCCACCTCTGGTACTTATATAGCATTTCAGTGCTTTATAAGACCAAGGGCCCCAAAGCACTTTACACTATATTCAGTCATTTACCAATATAGGTGATGTGTCAAGTAATCAGGCAGTATTTGCTGTGTTGTGGGGAGCTTTCTCTCTGCAGCTGTACTTCTGCTGAGAAGATGACTCTGCAGAAGGTGGTTAAAGGTGCACAGTAGACTTCGGACCCATCCTACACACAGACTGCTCTAGCCTTACCCTATGATAGGCAGCGCCAGAGCATCCAGAGCTGAAAAGCGTGGCTCGGAAATAGTGTGTACCCTGCAGATGTTAAGACTTGAGTCGCACATAATTCAGCTTAATCTCTTTCCTAAATGTTAAATATTTAAAGTGCAGGTGCTCAAAGAGCCACATTGGACCAGAAAAAAACAAAAAACCAATCTGTCTAGAGCCGCAAAAATTTAAAGGTCTTATATAGTCGCACATAATCAGCTTAATCTCTTTCTTAAATGTTAAAAATTTAAACTGAGACCCAAGTCCATATTTCATTCAAGAAGCACGTAAATGTGTGCTGGTATGAAAATAAAAAAAATCCTTAAACAACTAATATCAGTTAATTCTCCCTGACTGGGAAGACAAACATGGATAAACAGATGCATTCCCATCATCCAAAAAGGCATTAAAACCTCAACGTCCCACTTAATAAAGTCTGTAAAAAAAGATATTAGAGCACTGACTATGCTCCTTAAAACCAGACGTTTATGACCAATACTTATTATATAAGTATTGGTCATACTGCAGTGGTTTGAAATGAATATTTTCTGCTGGAATCAAACCATCAATAAACTACCAGCCTTGAGAACTATGGCAGATCCAGAGTCCAACACAAAACTGGAAATAAGATCATTCAGGAAAAATTGTAACGCTAGTTATAAATAATAATGTCCAGCTTGGTGTACTTTGACCTGAAAGACATATTAAAAATGAGGTTAAAAGTGTCCTATGTTCAGGCTGATCCCTGCATCAGTAATTCACCACTCAATCTCAAGATGAATGTGAAAAGTTAATACATTAATTTATTCCCTGAACAGGTTTCTTTAATTGTAACAGCTAAATTAAAGCCTCAATACATCCTGTAATTGATTTTCTTGCCAAACGGGAGAAATGATAGACCTTACAAAGCTATATAAACCTCAATAAGATATATAAAGCAAGTATCTGACACATCATATGCCCAGTTAACACTTTTTTTTTTCCAAAGATGACAATTAAGAGGAAGTGAGAAAAAAAAAGAGTTTAGTCTGTTATACTATGAGAACTTTTTGTGAAGGCTGTCTTTTAACAGCAAAAAGAAAGAACAAACATTTCTGTTTTAATGCCAGGGTGCAAAGTGAAACCTTAAATAACAGAAGTGTACAACACTAAAAAGTATACTAATGACATGAATTGCATTTTGGAAACCACATGAGGCTAAAAATAACAAAAACCTTCTTCTATGCTGAGAGTTATAAAAAATAGTAAAGGAAAAAAGTAGCAGCTTTCAATGAAAGTAGTGAGAATTTGAAAGAAAATGGAAGAAAAAAACATGCATAAGCATTATATGAGGAGGGAAGCTTCTATCTACTAGCTTTATTTACAGGTCTAACACATTTTTATCCCTTTTTCAATGTATTGACATTTAATGCATGATGGTGCTTGCTCTGATATAATGCTCTCTAGAAAAGAAAGATGTGCAAATTACAACTCATCAGCAAATTAGCCTTTAGCATGGCTGCACCTCAATTTACTGGTTCCCAATGGCCCCATAGAGGTGGCTTTATAACACTCTAAATTCCTAATCTTTAAATAATCCAAATAAAGAGCAATAAATTGCTTTTGCCGAAAAAGAGATTTTAAAAAATGCGAAAATAGCCAATTTTGTATAAGTGGTAGGGGATCTGGAAAAAGGCCAAAAAATAAAGAGACTAAAACTGGTTTGGTCAGCCCTATCTAAATGTGGAAACTGCATATCTAACTGGCATTTTAGGCAAAGAAGGATGAAGTTCTTAGCTTAAAGTGTTGGAGATTAAAGAAAAAAAAAACATCATACATATAGGTTTCTCAAAAGTGCTAAAAACAAAATAGAAAAATAAAAATGTGACAATAATTAAGAGATTTAATATTAATCAATGTAGAAAAATGAAAAGATTACTATTAGCTCATCGCTCTGATAGAGGTATGGAAAGGAGCCACTGTTAAATTTACAGCAAACTGCTTTAAACAGTAGAATTTACCTCCACCACCTGCTCAAAACCAGCACAACCCAAAATATAGCAAATCAAAGTATAGGCCCATAACATTTCATGCAACCTAAATTATCTACACTCATCGGCCACTTTATTAGGTACCCCATGCTAGTAACGGGTTGGACCCCCTTCTGCCTTCAGAACTGCTTCAATTCTTCGTGGCATAGATTCAACAAGGTGCTGGAAGCATTCCTCAGGGAGTTTGGTCCATATTGACATGATGGCATCACACAGTTGCTGCAGATTTGTCGGCTGCACATCCATGATGCGAATCTCCCGTTCCACCCATCCCAAAGATGCTCTATTGGATTGAGATCTGGTGACTGTGGAGGCCATTTGAGTACAGTGAACTCATTGTCATGTTCAAGAAACCAGTCTGAGATGATTTCAGCTTTATGACATGGCGCATTATCCTGCTGAAAGTAGCCATCAGAAGTTGGGTACATTGTGGTCATAAAGGGATGGACATGGTCAGCAACAATACTCAGGTAGGCTGTGGCGTTGCAACGATGCTCAATTGGTACCAAGGGGCCCAAAGAGTGCCAAGAAAATATTCCCCACACCATGACACCACCACCACCAGCCTGAACCGTTGATACAAGGCAGGATGGATCCATGCTTTCATGTTGTAGACGCCAAATTCTGACCCTACCATCCGAATGTCGCAGCAGAAATCGAGACTCATCAGACCAGGCAACGTTTTTCCAATCTTCTATTGTCCAATTTCGATGAGCTTGTGCAAATTGTAGCCTCAGTTTCCTGTTCTTAGCTGAAAGGAGTGGCACCCGGTGTGGTCTTCTGCTGCTGTAGCCCATCTGCCTCAAAGTTCGACGTACTGTGCGTTCAGAGATGCTCTTCTGCCCACCTTGGTTGTAACGGGTGGTTATTTGAGTCACTGTTGCCCTTCTTTCAGCTCGAACCAGTCTGGCCATTCTCCTCTGACCTCTGGCATCAACAAGGCATTTCCGCCATTTCCGCTCACTGGATGTTTTTTCTTTTTCGGACCATTCTCTGTAAACCCTAGAGATGGTTGTGCGTGAAAATCTCAGTAGATCAGCAGTTTCTGAAATACTCAGACCAGCCCTTCTGGCACCAACAATCATGCCACGTTCAAAGTCAATCTTAGAGCTATACGGGCTCTAAGTGTATTAGCCCAGTATAAAAAAGGAGTACTTGGGTCAGAATATATATTAAGCATTCATGATTAAATGTTTATCCTGGATCAAATGTCACACAGTAGCATTAGGTGAAGGAGGAGCAGTGAACGTTCTCACTGAATAGAATTCACTGCGCGCCACTTCATCGCCCTTCACTGCACGGTTTGTAGGCATTAGGTTTTATTGCTTTGATGAAATTTTAGAAACATGATAAAGGAATCTTTCTATGGTGGACATGTTTCTTTCCAAGCAGGAACTGACATCCATCAGAGAAGCGCTCTCTTACCCCGAAATGTCACATTCTGCGGCACCAGCGTTCCTTGCTGTTATTTTTATTTTGAGGATTCTGGGTGAAAAAAATTGAAGAAATTCACATTCCTGCATAAGAGCGCTACCTGTTCAACCTGTGAACGGTTTCCATACTTGCAACAAAACTAGCAGCAGTAGTGGAGTTTGGAGATGCAATCTTTGCTCTCCTCTAATTTATCCAGAACTTCTGGGATCGCACTTTTTTTCTCAATCCCAGCTTGGTGGTTGGCTGCATATTTAGCATGCCTTCCTTGGAAATGCCTTTCCAAATTACTCTTTTTATTTTTTGACAACCTCTCATTGCTAAGCAAACATGCAGGCAATCCTTCCACATTGATAATGAATGCAAATGATTCGGTCCATTCTTCTTTGAATCATCTGTTCTCATCAGGTATCTTCATTTTTTTCCCCTTTGGGATCCATGGTCCAGACACACCTTCCTCTTTTTCTACAACAGCCACCTGCCTGGGACTACACCGCACTGAAACGTGCATTGCAGGCTATGACCACTGATCTCTATGGCTATAACGCAAATTTCTGTTGAAAGAAATGTTTACATTTATTTGTTATACAATTATTTTACAGCATTGGAAAACATAATTAATGTTTGTTTGACCTCCTGCACACCATATTAAAATAAAAAAACAAAAACAATTTTCATAAATTTTTGAAAAATCTCCATGGAGCTAGCCTGATAAACCAGACTAAATGTGAGATTAAATGTGTAATTTAGTCTGAACCCGATGAATGAGACATCGGAAGATTGTAAATGAGAACAACCCGTTGTTTTTCAAACCATGTCTGTGCCTATTGGCCAATGCTCTGACCAATGAGCGCAACTGACTGTGACGTAGTAAACGCCACAGAAAGCTGGTGGGGGAGTGTAAACAAACAGCCTGTTGGTAAAACGGCGAATAAGTCCTTCTTAAAAATGAATGAGAGTGGAGGCTCTTCCTGCTCACGTTTCAAGGAAAACCCCAAGTCTAATCTTTCTAAAATTGATTCCAAAGCCGAGTCAAAAATCGCCATCAGTCCTTCACACACGACTATGCCGAGAGAGAGGCCCACTGCAGACGGGCTGCTGTTAGCCCTGGCTGCCGTTGCCCTCGGAGGTCCGCTGGCTGTTGCGGCCCTTTCAACTTCGGCAATTGTTTTTTTAATTACGCATTAAATTGGTAAATAGATCAAATAGTGACGATTTTAAGTATAATGTTCTCGCCTCAAATTATCTTAAAACATACTTTTATTGAACAACAGCAACAGAAAGAAAAATTTTAACTTTCAATGGAATGCTCCATTGAAACAGTGCATGTTACTGTTCAATAGCTTTCTCCAGCGTTGTGCAGCTTTGTCGTCACACCCTCAAAACCCCGCCCGCTTTGCATCCAGACATTCAAAACACATTTCTGCGTTGTGATTGGCCCGCCAGATTTAGGGCCTGGGGCATTGATCGAGGCTAGACCAACTCGCAGGCAGGTGGGGCTTCTTTACTAGGCTACCATGGAGCTGCAAGAGCGGCACTAAAGAGCTGAATGCGGCTCCGGAGCCGCAGGTTGGCGACTTCTGATCTACAGGCTCTATGATGATTGTTTTTTGGTGGAGAATCATTTTTTATAAATATGCCACAATATCCAAAATCTGTCATCGTGTTTTGTCATTGTTCCACTGAATTATTTCTGGCCTAAAGGACCATAGAAATGAATGCATGCAGGTTTGCACCTGACTTTCAAAGACACATAATACAGATGTAAAAATGTGCACCTGCAAATTCTTTTACAAAAACGCTTTGTACTGACATGCATATCCTCCTTCTATAGAGTTTCACTGTTCAGTCCCCAGTCTAAGTTCAGCATGTTCTTAGAGGAAGCAGACTAAAACCTTTGGGTCATGTGTTCCCTAGCTGTTTAAAGATCAAACTCTAAGAGGAGCTGGGAAGAACAATAGTTCTTAAAGATAGATACTTAAATATAGATACACTAATCAAAAGCAAACATTAATACATACATTTTAATGTATAAATTAATGTACAATGAACGGTGTGGAAGTACAATCAATAAATTTTCAAACTTAGGAATTATATAAAGATGCAGCTGAGAAATAATACATTTTCCAAATTAATTCCATCAAAATAGTAAAGGTGTAAGATATTTTTAAAAAGTATAATTAGAAACATATGAAAACTGTTCTCCCTCATTTTTATCAACACGTGGATTTTGCTACTCGTGGAGAGAACACTCTGGACTTAGTTTATACAAACATAAAAGACGCATTCAGAGCAGCCCCCCGCCCCCACATCGGCTCCTCAGACCACCTTTCTGTGATGCTAATTCCTGCATACAGACCCCTGCTGATCAGAGCAAAACCTACAGTGAAGCAGGTGAGGGTCTGGACGGAGGGGGCCATGGATGCACTCCAGGACTGCTTTGAATGCTCTGAATGGGACATGTTCAAATCAGCAGCAACATATGACAACAAGATCAATGTTGATGAGTACGCCATGACTGTTTCAGCCTACATCAACCACTGCATCGAGGACGTCAGCACAACAAAGACCATCACCACCCGAGCCAACCAACGGCCCTGGATGACTGAGGAGGTCCGCCACGCGCTAAAAGCACGGAACTCAGCCTTCAAGTCTGGTGACAAGGAGGCACTGAGGACAGCTAAAGCCACCCTGAACCGTGCCATCAGGTTAGCAAAGCGGAACCATAACCAAAAAATCCAGCATCTGTTCCACGACGCCAACAACACCAGGAGCATGTGGCAAGGCATACGGGCGATCACAGACTACAACACGCCCCCTGCCCCGGTGGATGAAGTTGATGCTGACTTCCTAAACGGACTAAATAACTTCTTTGGGAGGTTTGAGGCACTAAATCGCACTCCAGCAGTGAAGGCTGTCCCACATCAGGAAGAGGAGGTTCTCTGCCTTGACACAGCCGACGTGTGGAAGACTCTGAGGAGGGTCAACCCGCGGAAGGCCCCAGGTCCCGACAACATACCTGGGCGGGTGCTCAAGGAGTGTGCAGGTCAGCTAGCTGGTGTCCTCACGGACATTTTTAACACCTCGCTGGAGCAAGCCACAGTGCCAGCATGCTTCAAGTCTGCCTCCATCATCCCAGTGCCAAAGAAACCTCAAGTCACCTGCTACAACGACTACCGGCCCGTCGCACTGACTCCCATCATGATGAAGTGCTTTGAAAGGCTGGTAAAGGAACACATCGTCTCCAGTCTCCCCCCAACACTCGACCCGTTCCAGTTTGCCTACCGGCGAAACCGCTCCACTGAGGACGCCATCTCCTCTGCTCTTCACCTGAGCCTGGCCCACCTGGAGGAGAAGAACACCCACGTGCGGATGCTGTTCCTGGACTTCAGTTCAGCGTTTAACACCATCATCCCACAGCACCTGGTGGGAAAGCTGGAACATCTGGGCTTCAACACACCCCTTCGAAACTGGCTGCTGGACTTCCTCACCAACAGACCTCAGTCAGTCCGGGTCGGTCAGAACACCTCTGATGTCATCACCCTCAGCACGGGCTCCCCTCAGGGCTGCGTCCTGAGCCCCCTGCTGTTCACCCTGATGACATACGACTGCGTCCCCAGGTTCACCACCAATCACATCGTGAAGTTTGCGGACGACACCACGGTGGTGGGCCTCATCAGGGACGACAACGACCGGGACTACAGAGAGGAGGTGGAGCAGCTGGTGGACTGGTGCAGTGAAAACAGTCTGATCCTGAACGTGGAGAAGACGAAGGAGATCATCGTCGACTTCAGGAAAAACCGCCCCCACCATGCTCCACTGCTCATCAACAGCTCAGCTGTGGAGGTGGTCAGCAGCACAAAGTTCCTGGGGGTGCACATCACGGACAACCTCACCTGGACTGTAAACACTTCATCTCTAGTGAAGAGGGCACAGAAGCGCTTGTACTTTCTGCGGAGGATGAGGAGAGCCCGCCTGCCCCCGCCCATCCTCACAACCTTCTACAGAAGCACCATAGAGAGCATTCTGACCAGCTGTCTCTCTCTGTGGTGTGGAGGCTGCAGAGCTTCTGACTGGAAGAATGTGAGGAGGGTGGTGAGGACAGCGGAAGGAATCATTGGGGCTCCTCTTCCCTCCATTAAGGACATTTCATCACAGCGCTGTGTGTCCCGAGCCCGTAATATCATCAAAGACCCCTCACACCCCCACCATGGACTGTTCTCCCTGCTGCCCTCTGGAAAGAGGTTCCGCAGCATCCGCTGCAGATCCACCAGGTTGTGCAACAGCTTCTTCCCCACTGCCATCAGACTGTTGAACCTTTGATCCACAATCCGAACTCTGCACCTATTGCACATTATCGGGCATCAAATGCTGCTGAACTTTTAACTTTTAGCCCTTTAAATTGTTCATCTCATTGTATTTTTCAATAACGCATTTTTTGCACAAATGCCATTTTGCACTGAACCACTGCAACTTGCACACTGTCTCTTATCCTCTGCACTGTTCACACTTTGACCACTGCTGCACTTTTTGTATTTTTCTATAACTCGTGCCATTTGAAATATCAATGCAACGTTCATAAGCTGTATGTAACGCAATTTCGTTCTGTATGCACCCTGTGCATACAAAATGACAAATAAAGAAGTCTAAGTCTAAGTCTATGAAGTCATAGTCTGCATGCGGCGGAGTTCCAGAAAAGTGGCACACCGCAATGTTCAGACACCACAAACAAGAGTCCAGACAAACAGGAATACTATAGTGTAGTTCTTAATGGTGTAAACAGATTATCCGTTTACACTTTACATGATGTGCGAAAACAACTTAAAGAAAAGAGAATAAAGAAATTATTCAAAACCGTTTAGAAATTCTTCAAGTTTTATACGAGCTACAGTCATGTCTTTACCCATCTTAAAAAACATGTTTCACTAATTAATCCAATGACATGCTAAAAATGTTGGGCAACCCAAAGTTGCTAGGAAACTCAGAAAAGTAATATACAAAACAGGAAGCACTGCAACAAAAACAATAAGCGAAAGTGCAACTTCTTAGCCGCATTCAGCCACCTGCCTCAGCCTGCTTTCAAAACCCGGAAAACTCTGATTTATTATTAAAACCCACGTGGCAGGAAAAAAAAAAAAAAGAAAAATCTTAAAAGATCTGTATTGAAAACAATGAGCTAAGAGTAAATAAAATGGTGCTAGAAGCACTTGTTACCTTAGATGCTTTAAATCCATCTATCAGTTTATTAATCAGCTCCAAGTCTTCTTTCTTAGGCCCCCTGTCATCATGCATGGCCCCATCTTTACTCCTCAGCATTGGTGATATGGTCTCTCTTTCATCATCTTCAAACAAACTGCTGACCTTTGCCTCACTTTTATTGCTCGTCTTTTTCACCTGGAAGAGAAACAATTTATGTAACAAAAAATAACATTTGACCAAACGGTATTTCTAAACCTAAAGACCCGACCAAACCTTATGAAGCGGACTGGATGACGGGCTTTTGGGTCTGGGGATGTTTTTAGAGCTTTCCTTCTGCTGACTTAAAATGGAGGTGGAAAGAGAGTCGCTGACGCTGAGGTTGACGGTTTCAGTTGTGTCGGGGGTAAAGAAAGAGCAGTGGTTGTAAATAACCCCTAGCTGTTTGCAGAAGTGGTTGAGAGGAAACCCAACGACGTTTAAGAAGTCTCCATGGACGTACTCAACCAGCATGCCCCCGAGAGCTTGGATGCCATAGCCCCCAGCTTTGTCCCTGGAAAAAAAAATCAAAAAACAAAGAGTTAAAAAAAAAACACATTCTAGTTTACAGTAATCCACTGATTCAATCTAATGTCAAATAACAATAAGACTTCCTTGAAAAAGTATTCATAAGATAAGATAGACTTTATTGATCTCAAAGTGGAGAAATTAACTTGTCACATTGGCTCAATATTTAAAAGAAGGTAAGACAATAACCAGGAAAGTCTATATGATCTTTAGGATCTATTCTAAATATAAAGAAATTGATCAAAACAAAAATCTATTAACGCTGTATGATTAGCACACATAGTCACATAAGCCATGCTTATTGCCAACTTTAAATGAAAAGGAGAAAAAAATGCTGTTGTAGCTCTGCAAATAGCATACCAAATGTCACCATAGCCCTACTTACTGACCATTTCAATCTTAAAAAACAAAAACGGTCTTGCATGAACTGAATGATTCAGTGAACAATTCATTTTAATGAACTGGTTGTAGTGATTTATTTCACTCAAAGGCACTGCTGATCCCATCAGTTGTCTGTTCATGGGCAGCAGCCATTTCTCTTTTTGCTCCTCAACACATGGTGGTTAGTTTATTAGTTTATATATGTGCATAGTTTTTATACAGGAAACTATGTAGATTGACAACCGGAATGAACAGGTTGAAAATCACAGAGCTATTGAAAAACCCACCCCTGACTTATCACATATGAAGCTGTAGTTAGATTTTCACCTTACAACAGCTGTTTACAGTTTAACTCTTGATAAATACCAGGTACCATCAGATGCATAGCAGTTTGTATGTGAGTATGATCGTACAAATTATACATTTGAAGAGTTGAAAGGAATACAAAAACATTTACTGGTTCACTAAGTGGCCATCAATCAATGTCCAGATGAAATAATTAACAGCTTTTATTGACCCAGAGACACAAAACTACGATGAAATCTAATATAAAATCTTGACAAATAATGGTTAATTTGGTTAACATATGTTCCTAAAGATTAACTAATAAGATCCATTTAGACAGACCAGACTAAAGGTAATATACTTTGAGTATTGCAGCGTGGTCGCCTACAAGAAGAGGCTAAAATTCTTAATCCTCAAGTAGTGTTGCGCTGATGTCATTGTTTTGGCCCCGATACCGATACCCGGTACCTGGCTGTGCAGTATTTGCCGATACCGATACCATTGGTTTGAAATTTGTGTGTGTGTATATACATAAAGAACATAAAATAACTGCCATCATGGATTTGTCAAGCTGCTGCTTACCTTTGTGAAGCTGGAAAAGACTAATACAAAGTTAATCTGGTAGAACTTTTTCTTGCCTACCTGGAATGGGGGACAATAGTTAAATAAACTCTTGGCTCTCAGAATGGTATTGTGCCCTATTTATTGGTACTCTCCGATACTGATACCACCATTGTAGTGCTGGATTGGGGCCCTGTTCGATACTGGTATCGGTATCAGTGCAACACTATCCTCAAGTGGAGCCAGATCGTATTAGTTGCAAGAGAAATATTCATGCTGGAGGCATGCAAGAAAAGAAACGTGAAGCATTATAGAAAAAGCCATATTACGTATAAGCATGGCTAATTGTGAGCATTTGGTGAGTTAATGCACTTCACGAAGCCAAGTTTTAACATTCCTACAAGAGCAACCTTTAGCACCTGTTGAAAAGCACTGCTAAGAGCACTAAGTGCACTTTGACTAATGTTCACCTGATTGATACGAAGCAGCAAGGACTCTTACGGCCCATCAGCGACAAAACCTGTTTTTAAATAACAGTTTCACATTTCTGTTCATGAGGGATTATTAGTGTCTTACATATCTCTGTATATAAATATCATTGTACGTTTTCCTTTCATATTTTTATAAAGATTTATAAGTTTAAAGAGAAAAGTGCAAGAAAAAACAATTTTCACTTTTCTTGGATCAGTTTTTAAATACAGTTTCCAAAAAAAAGTTACTATATGAACACACTTAGGTCCATACACCAACAAAAATGTGTATTAGTTACCCATTTACTGAAGCAGATTGAAGTTATAGTCATAGACATACTGTAGGTTTTCACATTAAAGTGTTCGAGGCGTGGAGTTTTGCATTTGGACGATTCTGCTGTTGAGAACATATGTGGTCAATACAAGTGAAACAAAAAAGTGCATCCAAGGACTGCTACAATTATAGGAGTGACAATCTACAGCTTATATATTCTGAGAAAGAAAGAAAGCACAGGTGGACTCATCAACGCAAAAATACAGAGAAGCCCAAAACAGTGGATGATATGTTTGTCATGGTTTAAAAAAGCCCATTACCGTACATTAGCCAATCAAGTGAAAAAAAAAAAAACTTTCCAGGAATGCTATGTATCAATATCCAAAGCAATCCTTCCACAAAGCAAATACCTCCTGAAAGTAAACACAGAGGGTTCACTGCACAGTGAACTGTGCAGTGTAAACCCACTCATAACTCTTAGGAATATAATGGTAAAACAAAACAAAAAAAAAAAATTAAAAAAGCCAGCACTGTTCTGGGAAAACATTAAAGCAAGATTGAGTTCTACCACAATGATGGAAAGAAAAGGAGTAGAGCAAAGGGATGGTAAAGCTCATCATTCAAAGAAAACCAAATTATCTGTAAAACATAGTGGAGGCAGGGTGGTGGTAGGGCATGCATGGCTGCTACAGTAGAACTGGGTCACTGTGTTAATTAATAATGTGAAACTGGACAAAAATAGCCAAATGAATTCTGAGGTATTAAGAGACATACTGATGAAAACTGATTGATGTTGTTTCGTAATACAGATGGAAACTGTCCCAAAGAAAAAATCCAAAGCAACCCAGGTGGAATACTCTTCAATGGCCAATCAGTCACCTGATATTAACCCAAAAAATTAGACAGAAAGACACACAAACAAACAACAACTTAAAACCGCTGCAATACGTGTAAAATGAGGGAAGCACAGCATCTGTTGATGTCCGTAAGCTCCACACTGCAGGCAGTCATTGCAAACAAGTATTTCAGTTATTTAAATTGTCCAATTAAAAATGGGATTGTGTTTAAAATCTGATCATTTTTTTCACATTTATATTCCACCATTTGTTCAACCCACTGAATTAAAGCTGAAAAACTAAACTTCAACTCCATCTGAATTATTACATTAATGTACAGAAGCATAATGAGAAAAATATTGTTTCTAACCAAATATTTATAAACCAAACTGCATCTTGCATCAACCAGGCCGGACGCATGAGAGACACACCTTTTTTATGATGAAGTGCATTTTTTATTTCTTGATAGCTCATCCTAATCTGAGTTTATTTTCAAAGTTAAGGAGCTACTGTGTATTTTAGGCCCAGAAATGCTTAAACTAATAGGCCTAACAAGGAGAGCTTTAGGCAGAGAAATAAGACCAAGTGATCATCTACAGCTCAGATGGAGACATTAGTTTAAAAAAATAAACTTTTGGTTGAGCAACAAACGTTGCTTTAAACAAAAGGGATTGTCAAAAAGATCACTACTAAAACTAGGGCTGCAACTAATGATTATTTTGCAAATTGATGATTCTGTCGATAATTTTTTTTCGTTTAATCGATTAATAATCAGATAGTCAAAGGTTTCTTAAAGAAAATTTTTTATGAAATCGAATCTGAATCTTTTTTTATCTTAAATGCAAAATGTTTACATTTTTTTTTTTTTTTGGCATTATTAATGCTCTAAGTGGCTAGAGCAGCTAAAGGCATGTTTTACAACCTCTATACTCCAGTTAACGATTACTCGATTACTAAATTAGTTGACAATTATTTCAATATCGCTTAATCACGATTAACCCTATTAATTGTTTCAGCCTAAATTAAAGCAAAACCACAAGCAGTCCAAATGTTATTTGCCAAAAGCCATTTAGGGGACTTCACAAACATGAGGAAGTGGACATTTTTTGTCAGATGAGATATACACCTTTCACCATTTCTGTTCTCATGTAAAACATTATGGAACCTTGAAAGAATCCAAATAGGGGGCCCCAAATGGCATTGGCAAAACACAGGTTGGAACAAACATTGAGTGACCATGTTAGGGGTTATCTATAAAGATTGCTTAGAAAATTGGTTTAAAAACTGATTTGCTCCAGGTCCATATAAATAATAAAATTTTACAGTGGCCATGAAAGGAAGTTGGAGTTCAAAGCAATGAAGTTTAAAAAAAAAATTATTTAAAAATAATAGTATTAATGACAAATATTACATATAGTGCATAGATATCTTAAATTGATACAAACAAAGGATATAGGCGATTAAAATAAAATTGTTTGTTTTCCACTTTGCAGTTTGCACAGACATCATTATTCTAATATTTTTATTTCTGATTTTTTTTTAAATGGTTTACATGCCAGTAGACTCTCCCTGTCATTAAGTTAATGCCCCCTTAATAGACACGAATACCACAGAAATCTTTGCGTGTGAGTTTGCATCCGGATTTCAAAAGTGCTAAATATAGATCCAAAAACTGCACCAGCAATAATTTTCAGATTCGCTTTGCCCATAGAAAGAATTTACATTTGCACATCCTCCACCCAATATATTGCTTAGTTTGCTCATAGGAAAAGATACATGTTCACGAAGGCACACAACGAGAAATATCTGCATTTGATGTACAAGAGATATTGCAAACCCAATATAGATTGTACATATTTTGAAGATCTGATAAGTGAATATTATTAGGTTTGCATGCATTTCAATACAAACAACCCCTTTTTCAGATTAGACTGTATGCATTGCTGAAAACAAAAAAATGAACAACACCATGAACAGACCTTTTTTCAAGGGAAAAACACGGCAGTTGTTATTTCAGACTGTGGGGAAGCTTTTTTAATAAGATGGTTGGAGGAAAGATTAAATAAAACCACGACAATCCCGAAAGAAACCATGAAGAGCAACCGAAACAAATAGCCACAGCTACCATGGAACAGTTTAGATGAACACATATCTATTTGAATGGCCAAGCCAACATCCCAGCAGGAATCAAGTTAAGAATATGTAGCAAGACTTGAAAGCTGATGTTTAGCAACGCTTCCTGTCCAATCTGACTCAGCTTTAGATTTCCTCCAATACCATTGATTGTTGAGTATCTTTTTGACGAACTATGTTTACCATTTACTTTCTTTCATGAAATCGCCTAGCTGCAGAAAGTCATTAAATTAAAAAGAAATACATTTTTTTTTATTAAACCCATCATGTAACAATATATACACTACTTTTGCTAGACACTTTAAAATTTGATTTAGTCTAATTTAAAGGTATAGTAGAGGATGCTCTTTTTCCGAGTGGATTATCTAAATAAGTGGTCCTATTACTTGTCAATCATTCAGGTGATATGTTTACATAAGGACGTCCTACGTGCTCATCCCCATTTTCACTTACTGGTGGTGAGTCTGACATAGTGGAAAAACTGCAAATCTTCTATGGCAAAGTAAGCTTGTATGAGCGATGGAAACAGTAACTTTTTAACAGAGCGTGTACAAGGAGAAATGAGGTCATGAATGCTCTCGTACGCATTTAATAATCGTTTCCTCTCAGTAGCGGGTACAGGGTTGTGCATGTGGATTTTTTTTTGCACAAGTGGAGAGGGCGGGTCTTTTCAAAAATTAGCAAAAAAAATCCTCCACCATACCTTTAATACTTCACACTAACACAACACATGCCTTTTCAAACCAGGTAAACACAGCTTATTAAAATTCAAAGTTCAAAAGGTAACAAGTTCACGGGCTTCAAAATGAGTTAAAAATAAATAATATCGACATAATGGTTACTGAGGCAAACCATGCAAAGAATGATCAACACCACAAAGTCCCAAAGGTCAAATGTCTATACTCACATAGGTTCACCACTATTGATGTATTCCCATAGCATGTCCTCTGAGAGCTCTGCAAACTTAACCTTTGTTTCCTCATAGAAGTCTATTAACTGGTAGTCAACTTCATCATCTGGGCAGGAATCAGAGACGGTTAGAAATTAGATATTTTATCTGATAGTAACAAACAAGTCAATGAAGCGTTAAAACATACTGTCTTTATCGTGACACAGGACAATGGCGACTCCAGTAAACACACTGTGCTCTTTACCGCTCAAACTGAAAAGCAAAAATAAAATAACATGATATATAATTACATGATTCTTTTGTTTGTTCTTTAGTGTAAACTGTAAAACAACATAAACCTGTACCTTGATAACATCCTGTAAGCATCCTGCTTATCAACAGGCTTTTCAAGAATCATGCCATTAACAGTCTACAAATTTAGAAACAGTAATCATTTGGATGCAAACAAAATTAAGACAGCATCACACAAGTGGCTCCAGGAATGTTTTTTCCTTCTTACCACAATTGTGTCGGCGCCAATTACCACGTCAGGCGTTTTCAAGTGTTTCTGAAGCAAAGTAGGACAAATATATGTATTAGACTATTCATCTGGATAATTGGCCCTGCGATGGACTGGCGACCTGTCCAGGGTGTACCCCGCCTCTCGCTGGAGATAGGCACCAGCACCCCTCGCGACCCAACTTGGGATTAAGCGTGTCAGAAAATGGATGGATGGATCTGGATAATTCTGCATTGTATGCTAAGAAAATAACCAAACTTACAATCGTCATCCTCCTGGCCACCTCCAATGCCTTCTGCTTGGCTGTCTCTACAGCATACTCATGAGGGGCTTTGAAAAGCCCCTTATCAAGAGTTTCTTTAAACCAAGACGGCACAACCTCGAAACGCAGCCCCTAACATGCAAGACAAAGAAAAACAGGACAGTATTTACAATATTTACAGGAGTGTAGGTCATCTTTTAGACGGCAGCATTTCTTTTTTATTATTTCTTGAAAAGACATTGCATTTAAGATCACAATTTTATTCTGCAGCTAAACAGATAACAGACTTATTAACAGATTTCCTTTTTCATGATAGAAAATGTTAAAATACATAGTTTGATCTGATCTAGAGGAATTTTTAAACTTAAAAACATGATATTTGTATAGCACTAGTTTCTTTTAAAAGCACATACCGCATTTCGCAGTATCTCCAATCTTCTAGGAGAGGAACTGGCCAACACCACCAGTTTACCAGAGAGCTTAGAAATGACTGGATTTAGCACCATTATGGCCTTGGGGTTAACAAACCTTTGAGATAGAAAGAGTTAAATATTAAAGTATAGATGTGGAGAAGGCTGGACCAGAGACACTGTTTGAATAATCGATCAGCAGAACTTCAGACTTTGCTTTCAATATTCATCAATGAAAGTGAAAAATAGAAGCAAAACTGTTCATTTAACAATGAAATCTCCATTTTTAACACTTTAAATTTATTTTTAGATCTTATTCACACAATTTATAAATACATGTTTCAAAACATGACATATAACTACTGAAATATAACCATTTGTTGAATGTATGTACAGTTTGAACAGGTTATTATGCTATTGTTATTGTTAATTAAGGCTCCAAATAAACAAACTTAACCAACTGCTGCCACCAAGATAAGCTACCATCATCTAATAAAAGTAAACACGCCAAACTTCTTTATTTACTCTGTAGCATCGACATAAGTTCGTATCATCTTACCTGAAAGAGAACTTTTTAAAAACCTACAAGAATCTGTCTATAAATAGTTCAGTTTAGAACACATTTAGAAGACCTGATTAACATTATCCACTTGCTTCCAGAAAGCTTTCTCTTACCTGCAGAAGGCATGAAAGGTGGTAAGAAAAGCTTGCTAAGGCAGCCCAATTACGTATCTGACGTAATGACGTATGAAGTGGAAGCGGATACTGCTACGCCATTGGTCGCTTGGCGAAGCCGTGCCAGTGAGACGGCCAATTGGCGAACTCCCTCTCCGTAAAATGATTGGTGTAAACATAACAGCTGACCAGGGGCAAAGAGTCACTTGTCTTCTAGCATGTTTTATTGTTTTTAAGTTATATTTTTGCATTAGGTTTGCAGGGTGCTGGATGTACAAAACATCATCGAATATTTTTTAAGGATAGGATTTTTTAACAGAGCAATAATATGAACGAAGCTTAAAAAAGAAAAAAAAGAAAATGTATAGATGTTGTTTTACTATAACACCCGGAAATGTTCAAATTAGGTCATAGATGTCTAGTAAACAAACAGTCCTGGCTGCTTACGCAATATGTTGTTTGTGCTGCAATATCCAACTCTTTGATTTATCTTGTTCGATATGTGGTGGGTAAGAATTATTAAATACATGTGCAAGCTGTTTTGTTTTTTGTTTTTTTTTTACCAACCACCAAAAAAAGTTTTATTTATTTATTTTAGCTTTTATTGGTCATTAAACTGTCACAAGTACAGAGCAGCAGAAATTCACTCTGCATTTGACCCATCTTCTTGGGGAGCAGTGGGCTGCCGTTGCTCGGCATCCAGGGAGCAGTGTGGAGTTAAGGGTCTTGCTCAGGGACCCAGAGTGCAGTCTGGGGATCTAACCGGGTACTTACAACCTTCTCAGAGCACAATCACACTCCCCCATTGTTCCAGTTCCAATTTAAATAATACTGTAAATTGTATTCCCAAACTGAGAGTTATGTAAAATTAATAAGAAATACAATGGAAAATCATTTTATATATCTTATATTTTCATTTTGTTTGCATTTATTCATCCAATTAGTTTGTCTGTGCCCCCTTTCTGCTAAAAATTATTTTCCTCTCACTTCACTTTATCACCACATTCTGCTTGTCACGCCCACTTGTAAGTTCACTAATAAAAAAGGTGAAATCAGTCAAATTGATTATATTTACTGCAGCAGAGAAAAAAATGACATAACACTAATAATGAAAACAGAGAGGAGAGTTTATTATCATTTAATCAAAAAAACAAAAAAATGACTTTGGTATTTTGACAGTTATACACTGACATATTTACAAATGTAAAAGAAAGACCACCATTAACAACCATCAAATTAACCTAAGCATTTAGGTTAACCTGAAACATACATTTTTACATAAATTCACAGCTTAGAATGCTACATATTTTGCAGTAAAAACAGTCATGATGTGATGTTTGAGCAAACAGGTAAACTTTTTTGCAAAATAATCCACTGATGGTGATGGCTTAAGTGGGACTTTGCACAACAGAATAACAATTCTATAAGATAAGAATTGCATTCATCACTTGGGAATAAGAAAGAAAGAAAGAAAGTCACCTGTAGTACCAGATCATATAAATGAAACCTAAAATATAAACACTGTTAAAGCATAACATAACATAAATGCAGAGTAAAACAACATGGTTCCCTTTCACATTTACCAGGAAAAATTTTAGAAAACATTCCTTGTCAATGTTGCTAAGTTTTACTTTACTTAAGTAATGTGCAACATTCTCTTCAAACGTTGCCCTTCTCCATTACTATAACCTGTTCAAAACATTCAATAATGAAAATGTCCTATTTTGAGCACATTTACAAAATATTGTCCTCACCAGTTGTAACAGACACATGATAAAAATGTAAAAAGAACAATGATCTTATTGGATTTAAATGTCAATTATATCAGCTTATTCAATTAATATGTTTCTGAATTGTTACATTATAGTTAGGTGCTATCATACAATTTAGAAGGCTTTCTTACATCAGTTATGGTCCTAACATAAATATTTATCTTTCTGTGCATGATGTGGCTGTAAGATTTGAAGATTGAAGACAGTGAATTTGTTTCTTACTGGTAATAATCTAAGCAGGCTAATCTCAAGTCATAAGTTAGTCCAGAAATGGAAAAGGACTGATGAACAAGCCCCAGTAAACATGCTTGTTGAACACCTATTGTGCAGTTGCTTCAATACAGATCATGGAATAGCGAAAAACTTTGACTTTGAGCTACAAGTAACATTTCATTAACTGTTATTGACCAATTATTGACCAAAGATAAAGGATTTTGCAACATGAAACAAGAACACATGTTGCAAGATCTCCAAACCCCGCCTTAGTTTTAGTCACTTTCCTTCTTTCACAAGTCTTTTTAAGGTTTTGTATTATTGGTAGGTTCTAAATCTGACTATCCAGAGTACAAGGTCTCTTTGTTCTCTGTCCTTATAGAGTCTGCACTACTCAGGCTGTGCAGATTCAATATCTGTCTCAATTTCTGCCTAAAATCTTTTGAAGCAAAGTAATATATGAAAGGATCCAGACAACTGTTTAGACAGCTAAAACAGAGAGAAAGCTTGTAGGCCATGTACAAAGACTTGTTATAGAAGAGCCTCAGGATACTATGAGTCAACAAGAGGATGTTGTTTGGAGCAAAGCAGAGCACAAAAACCAGAAGAACGACAATAGCCAGGCGTATGGCCCTGTCTTTCTGCACCGTCTTGCAATCACTAGACAGCTTGTATATGACACTAACATAGCAGAACATTGTGACACAGAAGGGTAACAGGAAGAGCACAAACACCATGGTGAACAGGAATGCTGCCCAGGCCCCCACTGTTGGGAGCATTGATTTCTTTAGCACGTCAAAGCATGTGGTGATCCCAAGTTCAGGGATATCAAAAGTCAGGTCTGTGGTCATGAGAGGGTACAGGACACCCAGGACCAACCCCCACATCAAGAGGCAGCTGAAAACAGCGATAGACTTTCTCCTCTTGTTCTTTCTGAATATCATGGGCTTCACAATGCCCAGGTAGCGATCGATGCCAATGGCCATCATCGTCAGGATAGAACAATACATGTTGGTGTAGAAAACAAGGGTCAGGAAGCTGAAGGAGATGGAAAAAAGGTTTGAGGACAAATTAAACAAATTAAAAAAGGTCTTAATCTGCAAGTTGCTCACAAATTTTGTCCAGTTGAGAATTAGAACCAAACTGAAAAGCAAAACAACCAACTAAATGATCTAATCTAAATATAAATTAGTTATTAGACTACACTTATCGTTGAGGTAATACATTTCTACTATAATTTTCAAGTTGGAAAATGTTCTTGTAATATTTGTACCTGCACATCTTGGATCCTAGTGTCCAGTTGTATCCTTGGAACTGGTAGGAGATTTGAAAGGGAAGGGCAGAGCCAAGAGCCAAGTCAGTGAGAGTTAGATTAATCATGAAGATGATGGATGGAGTCTTTGGGGACGTACGAAACAGCAGGAGCCAAATTGATAGGCCATTTCCCACTAGGTTGATCACGGTGACAACCATGTATATAACAGAAATGACAGAGCTGGTGTTCGTATTTTGAAACAGAGATAGGGTGGCATTATCAAGCTGTGTTCTGCTGGAATTCCCCCTCATGGTTGGACTGAAAGTGCCCCTTATTACCTGTGTACCAAAGAATAACACAAATGTTTTTTTAGTTAGTAAAAGCCATTTTAATGTCAATTTTCTGAGATATATCAAGAATGGTATGATGACAAACACATCTTTAATGTATAATTCTGTCACCTTTACAAAATCAAAGTGAAAAGGCACAAAAACTCATTAGAAACCACAAACACATTGCCTGCTTCTGATTTGATGCATACCACGCATAACGTTTTCAATGCTAAGGTGTGAAAAAACATGATTCAGGTTCCTTCAACCTGTGTTGTTGATTGCGTGCAACAAAGAAGCTGTTTCGGGTGGAGTTTTCACACAGGAAAAGGGCATGCATGTTTTGTGGTAAGTAATGCAAACTCTGGGTACCTTTTGTACCGCTGCAACGTAGAAAAATGTGGAATGAAAGGTCACATCAGAATCTGTTAAATCATAATCTGAGAACTAAAAACATTTTCTTGGCAGTGTCTATAAGTGACTGAAGATCGGAATGTGGGTGTGGGCAGGTGAAGAAACACTTTCTCTGCCATGTGGGGAGTATGGTCTTGGTGGTAGTGGGGGGGACCACAAAATATAGAATTCTCCACCAACTTGAGGCACATCCTTGTTATCTTAGGCACTTTATTACTGTTAGCACCTATGATCATTGTTGCCTTAAACATTGGACGTCTGGAATGCTTTAAACAGTATAAAATAAAACAAAAAATTATATATTCCTCCTTTTCAGAACACTGTCTATAAATCAAACCCAGCATGTTGCTTTTCAACTCTGCAAGCACAGGACAGACACATAAAAAACATCCTTGAGTCATTTTCTCTTTCAAGTGTTAAGTAATGGAAAGCTCTTTATTACTTAAACAACACACCGCACTGTATTTGGGTAGCTTTGGTTCCTTTAGTCACCAAATGTCTATTTGTGTAAAAATGTAGAGAAGAAATCTTAAGATATTTTAATAGGTATAAGGATAATTAAATGTAATTGTTTTTTATCTATTTTTTTTTCTCTTAGATAAAGCCCTCATAATCAACAAAACTACTACCTTATGGTGATTGATTTATGATTACTGAAAGTATTGATTACCTGCCTTCACTCCCATATTAACTGAGGAAACGTCCCACTCGTAATTTCTCGGGTGCAATATGACGTTTATCTACCCTAAACAGCTACAATGGCTTGAAGTGTTCTAAGAAGGTTGTTGACAAGGGTAGCAGTGTGTTTTGACCATTCTTTGAGAAATTCATTTATAGGATCAAAAGACTGATGTGGGACGTGACAGACTGTCTCTTAGTCTCAGCTAAAGAGCCAAGCGGAGGTCCCTTAAAAACAAACCCACTACACCATTCCCTGTCCACTAAATTTTACATTGGCACAATGCCATCATCATACACTGTTCTCCTGACAACGAACAAGCCTACATTATTCCATCAGATTGCCAGATGAAGAAGTAATATTCGTTATGCCATAGAGCTTGACTCTACTACTCTATGGTACATTGTCATTGTGCTTTACACCACTGCATCTCACCCCTTGCATTGCATTTGGTGATGTATGTTTAGGTAACATTGCTTGACAATGGAAACCCATTCTATGAAGTTCTCTACACACAGGTCTTTAGCTAATGTAAAGACCATTTGAAGATTGGGAGTCTGTAGTATTTGACTTTCTAGAAAGTGGCTAATTATGCGGACTACCCTCATCAGCATCCACTGCGACTGCTCTGTTGGTTTTCGTGGCATACCACTTTGTGGCTGACTAGCTATCGTTCTCAATCACTTTTACTTTCTTATAGTACATGTAACAGTAGAAAATATTTACTTCCAAAGAATTTTTCTGATTGGACTTGGTTGAGCAGTTGGTATCCTACCACTATACTACGCTCGAATTCATTGATCTGCTGAGGCGACCCATTCTTTTACCAAATACATACCCATTTTTAGGTAATTGATTTTATAAATATGAAACTGATTGTATCTTCTGGTTCAAAATTTAATCGGTGCAAATACTTGTGGTGATATAGTTCAAAAGATGTGTTAAGGCTGGAAGCAGATTTTTGTGGTGGCAATTCCGCTACAATCAACAAGCGATTTTTTTTTTCATTGCATAAATGTGCAATATTCATATATGCTATCTTTTATTAAATCTGTCACAACTCTGGTCAAAAGTTAAAGTGATGTAAAAGGAGGGAGACATTAATAAGTTATTAAATCAAGGGCGTAGGTTTGATTTTAACTTTGGTAGGGACACGATTGGTCGGGTGTCATTGGTGCTATGCAATATGCACGCCCTTTTTTATGCTCGATGTGAGCATCCGTACTGATAAGAGGAATTCAATGTTAAAAGAGAAAAGCATAATTTTGCTACATTAATAAAAATTAAATAAAAAAAACACTACACTCATTAGATGCTGTTTATCAATGTTTGAAGCATTAATTGATTATTTCAATAATCGTCAACTAATTTAATAATTGATTCATCATTAACTGGAGTATAAAGACTCTAAAACATAATATAAATGTAAAATGTGTCTTTTTCCAACAGAGCAACCCACTTAGATCAGTAATTATACCAAAATTGTAAAACTACAATACATATATATAATCAAAATTCTCCATCCAGAACTCCTCATGTGGAAATATTTTAGTTTCACCTGGTTTATTTAGACATCACCTGAAGCACTGAAGGGCCAGCTGCTTCACCTACAAGCTGCCCTGTACCATTATTACTGGATATCTGTGTTTCCTATAATCATATAATGTATAAGTGCATTTTTAATAGTAAAGGATTAAATGTAACACAACCTTTTATCATTGTCCTATATTGCTACTGTCTGACTGTATAAATAGCTCCTTATGTATATTTTCTTTTTAGTGGCATCATCTACAAACACAACACTGAGAATGAGCCTAAGTTTATTAAAATATAAAATCACTTTTAACAATTATAAAAGACAATATAACACTATCTTATCTGTAATTTAATAATATCCAAAATAAACAGTCAGATTCCAGCATTTTTACCAGACATTAATGTTTGTACTAATTTACTTATAGACTGTGTGGAAATCTATGTAAGATAAAATCAATGTTAATATTCTTCATCTGTTTGTTCTTCTCTTTATCCTATTTCTAGAAGTATAAATAGTCAATTAAATTATTATTATTATTTGGAACCCTAATTATGCTTTTTAAACGATAAACAGCAGATGTTTAGCCGCCATTTCTTGTTGTTTTCCTCTATAAGAGAAATAACACCTGCTAATAATTATACCTGAACTTCCTCAGAGTCATCAAAAAATGAAACCAGTAACAGCAACTAAATATTGGTAAAAAGGAAACCCTCACATTTTCTTTTTTAGGTGGCTGTGGCTAAGAATCAGAAATGTTGATGGCTTACAGCCTTTATTTGCCCATTTTGTGTCTTCAGAACTCCTGGCTGACTCAGAATATTTCGTTTTATAAAAGAAAAAAAAAGGTTTTTGTTTTTTAGTGTACATGATATTCATTTTTTTATTGGGACTAGTTTCATAGTCTAATATTAATTGTAGTAACCGCTGCATTCTAGTGTGAATAAATTTTCAATGTTGTGCTCCAAGCACAGCGGACTAGAAAACAGCCAATCAGAAAGAGAGAAGGCGGGACCTAAGGCAGAACAGCCAATGAGAGTGGAGTTAAACAGCGCAGCACAGTTCAATGCGCTGCTAGGTGAAAGGGACAGGAGAGAGCAGGCAGAGGAGCTGCGAGAGGAAAAGAGCCACTGCTGTAAATTATAAACATGTTGCTCACATCCAATTATTGGTCGGGACAATTAGGACGGTTCAAAACTTTGGTAGGGACATGTCCCTATGGTCCCTATGCAAACCTACGCCCATGTATTAAATACATAATTATCAGAAATAATTTTAAATGAATGTGAAATCATCTGAAATAGATTTTTTTTTATGTAAACAGGAATTTTACACATACTTATGTGTTTAATAGGTACAGACAAAAAAGAAAAACGTGTTGAGATAGTCTCCTTTAAAGCTTTTAAGGTCTGGCATGTCTAGAAAAAAGGATAGATCGATAAATAGTTATTTTCTTTATTCATTGAAGTGTGGCATTCATGGCATCCCATAGAGGGCAAGGCTGTTATTTCTTTTAAACTCTTTTGAAAAATAAACGGCTAGAAAATAACAGAAAATGAGAACATAAGCCTTCAGAAAGTTATATCAAAAAAATCACGATAAACTTCTCTAAAACAAGCTACATGTTCAAAAGAGAAAATAAAGAGTTATTACTTAAGATCTACCCCACTGCTCTATGTAACAAGACATGGGCGCCTTTGTTTTCCTGAAAGTACCTAAACTGACTTTAGTGGTTTGCTTCTTTCCACCACTCTATCAATACATTTAAATCTAACAATGTTGTCAAAACATTTGTTGTCATACATTTCTGTGTCATTTCTCAAATATTGCGTTTAACCAAAAGCTAAATATTTTAATAACCAATAAGCTATACTACATATGAATATAGTACAATATTCTAAAGAAAATTAAAACAAAGGTTTAAAAAACAAAAGATAGGTACCCCTAACTAGGCCTACCCATTACTTGATGTTCAGATTCTCAATTGTGAGTAAAAGTAAGGTTTGTACTGTTGAAAACGTACCTTTTTAACTGGAGAGGCAAATAAGGCAGGTGGGCACGTGTTTGGCAGTTGCAGATGGAGGCACAGATACTCTGACTGAGGAAGGCTGGTGAGGAAATGGGGTCTAAGCTCGATGTAGTGGCGCTGAAAGGAAACGCACCATGTGACAACCGTCATCCTACCAACCGTAGTAACGGCCACATGTTTTATTCTCACTTGGCATTGAATCATAAGGCACTGTCATATCGAAAACTTCCTCCACATTCAACTTGTTCATGTAGAGGAGTCATATTCACTGATTCATCTGCTTTATTTCTCCCACAACTGTAATGTTTCCACTGCAACAATTTATTAATTATTTTCAAAGAGTATCATGTATAACTATGACAAAGAGGATCTTTATAGAGTTTACAGAGAACTACAACAGAAACTAAAATAACACAAATTTGTGTTCTTAGGGAAATCCCAACATTTCATACTTCACTTTCTGCCATTAGCAGCTTTTTATGACTGCAAGTTGTGCTCATAGAATGATTCAACAATAGCATACATTAAATGCAAAGGGGAAAAAGGTAAATCTTTATTCAAAAAGGTGTTTACCATATTAGCTTTACAACCCACGTCAATTAATATATAATATAACCAAATATAAGGGAAAATTAGCTGTTTACAAAGCCTCATTTCAGAGTGAAGCAAGAATGCAACAGCTTGTTCATGTAACTTTTGTGCTTCAACTGATTTCCTGTTGATCCTCATAGTTCTGCTTTATCCAGGGGAGAGTTAATCTGACACAGTGGTGTATTTCTTTTAAAAAGAGGTCAAAAGTCAACCAAAAAAGTATATATATTTTAATAGAGAACTCTGAATAAAGAAAACATGTTTTCTGCACCACACCTGTCAGAAAAAAAACTGTATTCTTCCGGTTCACTCAAACAGAGAGGTGATCAGTACATGTCACTCCTAAATGTAAATGACTCAAAGCTGTAATGTGGTTGTGCAGACTAAGCAGTTTGAATGTTGCCTCACCCAAAAACAACCTAAATAACTGAAACATCCAACCAGGACAAAGCCCACTTTCTTTCCTCTTAGTGGAACCCTTAAAACTTAAAAAAAAAAATAAAAAATAAAAAATTGATATAGTGTGAGTAAAAAAAACTGTTGAAAAAAATAATCGAAGGCTTTTGGAAATAAAACTATTGACAGTTTATTTGCTGACAGCTTTATTATAAAATAAAATGATATACACTATATTGCCAAAAGTATTTGCTCACCCATCCAAATTATTGGAATCAGGTGTTCCAATCACTTCCATGGCCACAGGTGTATAAATTCAAGCACCTAGGCATGCAGACTGTTTTTACAAACATTTGTGAAAGAATGGGTCGCTCTCAGGAGCTCAGTGAATTCCAGCGTGGAACTGTGATAGGATGCCACCTGTGCAACAAATCCAGTCGTGAAATTTCCTCGCTCCTAAATATTCCACAGTCAACTGTCAGCTGTATTATAAGAAAATGGAAGTGTTTGGGAACGACAGCAACTCAGCCACGAAGTGGTAGGCCACGTAAACTGACGGAGCGGGGTCAGCGGATGCTGACGCGCATAGTGCGAAGAGGTCGCCAACTTTCTGCAGAGTCAATCACTACAGACCTCCAAACTTCATGGCCTAAGCTCAAGAACAGTGCGCAGAGAGCTTCATGGAATGGGTTTCCATGGTCGAGCAGCTGCATCCAAGCCATACATCACCAAGTGCAATGCAAAGCGTCGGATGCGGTGGTGTAAAGCACGCCGCCACTGGACTCTAGAGCAGTGGAGACGCGTTCTCTGGAGTGACGAATCGCGCTTCTCCATCTGGCAATCTGATGGACGGGTCTGGGTTTGGCGGTTGCCAGGAGAACGGTACTTGTCTGACTGCATTGTGCCAAGTGTAAAGTTTGGTGGAGGGGGGATTATGGTGTGGGGTTGTTTTTCAGGAGCTGGGCTTGGCCCCTTAGTTCCAGTGAAAGGAACTCTGAATGCTTCAGCATACCAAGACATTTTGGACAATTCCATGCTCCCAACTTTGTGGGAACAGTTTGGAGCTGGCCCCTTCCTCTTCCAACATGACTGTGCACCAGTGCACAAAGCAAGGTCCATAAAGACATGGATGACAGAGTCTGGTGTGGATGAACTTGACTGGCCTGCACAGAGTCCTGACCTCAACCCGATAGAACACCTTTGGGATGAATTAGAGCGGAGACTGAGAGCCAGGCCTTCTCGTCCAACATCAGTGTGCGACCTCACAAATGCGCTTCTGGAAGAATGGTCAAAAATTCCCATAAACACACTCCTAAACCTTGTGGACAGCCTTCCCAGAAGAGTTGAAGCTGTTCTAGCTGCAAAGGGTGGACCGACGTCATATTGAACCCTATGGATTAGGAACGGGATGTCACTTAAGCTCATATGTGAGTCAAGGCAGGTGAGCAAATACTTTTGGCAATATAGTGTATGTGTTTTGACACTAATTATTACAGAAGTTATGACATTTAAAATTTCAAGGCTTTTCCGCTGGTCTGTTACAGTGTTCTCATTGACACACCATTTCCACATGCAAAGTAACAAAGTTGAGACTTTTTGTTTTAGAAATGAAGATGCACAAGCATATAGCCTGGAGTCTTATTGTGTGTTTCTGTGGCAGCCCTGTTTTGTAAAATTTTCACCATTTCTTCCCATAATCAGTCAGGTTGGATAGGGTGTGTTGGTAGGCGGTATTTTTTTTTATTATTTCCACAAATAATCAATTGGATTCCATTGTGATGGCTAGTGAGACCACTAAAGCACATTTAAAAATATCTTCTACAGCTATTATGTCGTTATTTTTAGTCAGTGCTTAGATTCACTGTTTTGTTAGATGTTAGCCTTTGTTTGAAGTTCAGAATACTCATGAACAATATCTATATTTGGCTGACTTCTACAAACTATCTGCACATTTCCTGCGACACAAAAACATCCCAATAGCCTGATGCTGCTTGCTCTATGCTTAAGATTTGGACTGGTGTTAGCCAACTAATGCGGAGTGCATGTTTTAGCTTCTTTAATAAAGGCGGGCAAGATGACTTTTATACCCCAGGTCTTAAGAAGCATCTCTGTCAACATCAACTATGCTGTGTGCTTCTGGTCACTCTGATATGATCTAACTGGTAAAGCAGATGGTTTTGTCACAGAAAAAAACTTGGGACTCCAACTTAATAAGTCACTTTTCTGATCAGAAGGCAGAGGAGTCAAAAGTATTAATGTTTATTACTCAAGTAGAAGTAGAAATTCTACTGTTTAAAACACTTTTATAGAAGGTAGAGTATCAACTTAAGCTTTTTACTCAAGTAAAAGTGTAAAAGTATAATTTTTAAAACTACTTTAAGTATAAAAGTAAAGGTAATGCAGGAAAAAATTTAAGGGCAGATGCTTTAAACCTTATACTTCACTGCCTTATTAAAAGGAAAAATGTTCTACAATTCTGGATTATATTAAATCATGTAGATGATTTATGATCATCTATAAATAATGGCAACAGTGTCAAATTTTAAATTGCATCAACAAAAACTATTGAATTTGGTAGGTAGTGAACAACAAGTTGGTGCAGTAAAACCACCAAGGAATTAATTGTCTTGATGAAACAAATTATTTTCATGTTTTTTTTTTTTTTTTAAATACCAAAATGCTATAATGAAATTGTGCTTAAATAAAAAACAAAACAAAAAAAGGGGTACAAAAAATGACTCCAGTAAAGTATAGATAGCCAACATTTTTGCTAAGTAAGGTCATGAATTATTTGTACTTTGTTACTTGACACCTCTGTCAGAAGGTCAGGATTAAATTTCATGGGGGAACAGGGCAAATGTAATAACAATACAAAAAATATAACATATAATATATAAAGTAAGCCAAAAAGCTACTTGTGGCATCTCCTAGGCTACTAATATAGCAGATGAATACCATGATTATATCCAAACACAACTGAAACTAAAAGTGCAGCACTTTCACTTTTAAATCACTCTAAATAAAACAGAAAAAGATAAAAATCTAATTTGGTGAAAAGGACCAATCAGTTCTTGTTTCTGTTCAAACAAATATAATCATAAACATAAACTATTTTTTCTTTAGTGCAGTGGCTAGATAAGGGGCCAGTTATGTAGGGGCACTGGCCCCTGTGGGCCCCTGTCTAGAACCACCCATGTCTATGACCAAACCCCTTTTTCTCGGATGACTCACTTAGGTTTAGATGCCAGATTTATGCAACATCCTGCTGCTTCCAACTATCTTATTTCAATATAATAGAGACCATGGTGCTTTTATGGTTGAGCAAATGCTCTCTAATTTTTGTGCTTTTGACTTAATCCGGTCCCAGAGTTATTTAGAAAACTCCTTTGACAGTGTGGTTTCTGCTCTGCAATGCACTATCAATGATAAGACCTCATTTAGACAAGTGTGTTCTATTCACAATCTATTCACAAGTATCACAAGTAAGCTCAGAGTTGCAGAAAGTTGTTAAAGATCGTCAGCTGCAATCAGATGTACCAGAACTTTATTTTAACTGTTATATTAAAGGAAGTGAACACTTAGGCACCAATTTTTATTTAAATTGTTCTGTTAAATATACAAACTTGCCAGAAAATGTGATTTATGGATTTTGGAAAGTGATACTACACCCAAGCTTAATATAAATGATAGAAAACTATTCGCAGTTTTAGAATAAATCTATATACCAGAGTGTAGAAAATATAACATGGTGTTCTTAGTTTCTGGTGACACTGTAGGTGTTTATGCATGAATTCACAAAGCATAACATTTTGATGAAATTTGATTTCCTTGGTTGTTCTTGGTCTGCTGGTTAACTGTACATACAGCAAAATACCTTTACCCCAAATTTTTAAAAGTCAATTTCTTTATCAGTTTGACATAAAACATGTTTATATTACTATAAATAAAATAAGAAGAATAAAGAAAACACATTTTAAGATGTTTCCTATGTTGTAAATAGTTTCTCATACAGAAGGCAATGTCATTGTCTTACAAATACTGTGTTGTCCTGGGTGTAACTGTGACGCTTTATACCACACGTGAGAGGAAAGTACCATAACAATACATGAGGCTGAAAACGTGGTGACAGAAAAATATAAACACATACAACTTCAATACCAGCCTACAAACAGGAACTAAGAAACCAGTGAAGCAGTAAGAACAGCTTCCATCAGTTTACTCTGAAAAAAATCCCCAATTGTTGTGCATCATTAATCTTCTCCTAAAACCCAAACCACTCACTGCTCATCTTTGCTTTTCTCAAATCCCCTCTCCTTCCCAGCTCCCATGCTGACGACCTCATAACAATGCTCCGTCCTGCATTCAGGGGAATGATCAATGGGAAGGCAGTCATAGGGTTTATTAGCTGAACCCATACGCTTCCTGTTGCGCGCACCTGGCTGATAGAGCTGCATGGCTGGACGGTCCTGCAGGCAGGAAAGGAAGGTGAGAAGTGAAATTCTGAATTAATTTTCACAGATACACATGGTGTATATTGTATATTGTCCATCACATTAAATCGCATTAAAATAAATTTAGTTGGAATAAACTGTAGAAAATAAGATATTTTTTGAATTACAGTCTACTTGGGGAGCTACGGTGTAAAGCAGAATGCAATTTAACTTTAGGTCACAGATAAACATCAATAAAGTAATGGAAGTCTTAATCTACATATCCAGCGATTTTTAACAGCTATTTATTTTTTTTTTAAAAGAAGCCAAACTTTGCAGTATGTGAATCAAATCTGCACTAAGGAGGATTTAGAACCTTATGAAAAACGCTGAAGAATTATCACATCAGCAAAGAAAAATCAAAACACAAATATTTGCTCAATTTCACTATGAGTTGTTTTATTATAGAGACTTTATATAACCTCTATCATCCTAACTGATACTTTGCTGTTTTTCAGTAAATGTAGGCAATGTTATAAATAAATTCTAGTGACACGACAATGTTTGAGGTACTATTTAAATTGAATATAGTCACCAATAAAAACACTCTTAAACCAGCATTATGAGAGACATTCAGGTCAATTCTCATGCTCACCTTCTCGCTCACCTTGTTTCGGAGGCGTTCCTTTCTATTGCTCAGATCCTCCCTGTCCTCCTTTCCCATTTTATCTCCACTGTCAGGACAGTAAGAATAGCCATGATGATGGCCCTCTTTCTTGGCCCGGTCCTGGCAGTAGCCCTTCCCCCATTTGGTCTCATCTTTCCGGCGCATGAACTTTTCAAACTCGTAGTGATGTCGTTGCCGTTTTCTCTCGTCATCCTTACCGCGGTGATCCTTATCTCTCTGCCTGCGGCTGTGCTGCTCTCTCTGCTCTTTGTCACTCTCAGGCTGACCTCTGCTGGTTGAATATATATTGAAGCATGTATCATTTCATAGTCAGAAAAAAATAAATAAATAAAACAGCTACTGAAACTCCACGACAGATTAAGACAAATAGTGCAGATTCCCCTTTGCATCAGGTCAATAAATGCCCATCAGCTTGTGCAACAACAAAAGAAACTTTCTTTTGCAATATTTATTCTATAAATTTCATGCCATAATCTACAGAATAATCATCACTATATCTTACATATAAATTTTTTTTGAAAGAATTTGGAAGAAGTTGTAAAAACTAAGTTTAAGTTTAAATATAAAAATATTTTTATTGCGGTAAAATTTACTGCTACCTTGAATAGCAGAGCAATATTAACAGTTAAGAAAAAATAATCAAAATATAACTAGAGCTGCATGTCTACTTTATTGACCAATGGATATTTAAACGCATTTTTAAACATTTTAAAATCAAGGCTTTTCTAACGATCATATAAATCCTTTATTGATAATATGCAATATTTTTTGAATGCATGGGACTCTAAAGGCCTGCAAAACGTTCTACTGTTGTCCATCAATTCTGTTTCAGTGTCAGTTATGCTGGTTTAAAGAAACTTGCACATATATTTATTGCACTTATAGCATGCACTTATATTTGTTGGATAGTAAAAGACAGCGTATAGAAAGACACTCAAGCCCAGAATGTTACAAACAAATTTTAATTAACTTTTAATACCTTTTTACTGTAGTGATGACTGTGCTTATAAAGCTAAATTTTAATAAAACAATTAAGTTAAACTGTTATTTTTATAAGTCAGCCATTTCTTACTTTTCTTTTGGGTCCTTTGATTTTGGTTGTCCTCCAGTTTTCTCCCACTTGCCCCCACCTACATCACAAGGGTAACTTTTTTCCTTTATTCGATCTGAATCAACATCATCATCTCTGTCACTCTTCTTTAAAAGCTGTAAATACGAAACAAAAAATCACTAAATATGCAATTCTGCAACATATAATTGAAAAACACAAACAACATGTATTTTCTGCAGAACATGGAGTAACCTTAATCTTGATGTCTTTTTCAGAAAGCTTTTTCTGTTTCTCAGCCTCTTTTCGCTTGCGCCTCTCCTCCTCTCGTCGCTTTCGCTTCTCTTCTTCACGTTGCCTTTTCTTTTCAAGTTCCCGTCGCTTTCTCTCTTCCCTCTTCTCCTCTCGGATCCTCTGTTAAAAGTGTAAACCACAGAATTGTTTTTTTCTTTGTTTTTTTTAAGTTGTGCTCTTGTTTTTACAACTGTTTCTGCCTCACCTGTTTTTCGATTTTCTTGTTTTTTATGTACTCCAGGAGGGGCGTCGTTCTTTTGGCTTAGAGAAAACAGACAGAAAGAATTAGAATAGAAAAAGTTAATCTTATTAAAGAAACTTAACATTTACTTTGTACGTGGTGAACATGACTTAGATTAATAGTATTTTGGTTACAAATAACTAGAAATCTTTAAAATGCAAAAGGCTGAAAACAGAAACGTGGTAGTTTAGTAAATTTAAGCCCAGTCAACTTTATCACATAGAGTTGATTGGTGGAAGGTAACTATATGTTAGAATCTGTAATAAAAAACTTTGATATGTCTGTGATGAGATTCTAAAAACAAAAACTTATTCTAAAAGGGAAATAAAGGGGTACAAATCTCTCCTACGTATAAAAATCAGTCCTTTCTCTTTCTTAGTTCTCCAACATTTCAGAGAATATGTTTTTGCATTTTTTTAGTGATTTTTTTAGCCTGGGTGCCATTCCGAACTTAGTCCCGCCCAAAACATTTGAGGTCGGGAAGTTCGGTCTGGCATTGCTCAACGGTAGCGCGAGTATGCTAGCACAATATCTGGCGGCCCAATCAAATTGTCAGGGCGGGCTTTATACAATGATGGACAGATGATCAACAGTAACGTAATCAACCACGTGACCAAAGCGCGCTTGGGTGAAAACAACAATGGCTGCCGCTGGAAAGTTGAGGTGAGTAGATTCTGCTATTAGGTCTGTTCTAGAAGATATCGACAGCAAATTAATTTTAAAAGAGAAACAGAAAAACGCGATCAAGGCTCATCTTCTTATTCTAGGCGCGCAACTGCACGCTTTGATTTTTGTTGACAACAACTATGCCTCGCTTAACACACGTCACGCACTCCGTTGCTCTTATTGGTTGTAGGTCTATCCAATTGAGTGCAGAGGCATTTTTTTTCCTGGTTCGTTCAAAACACGCCCCATAATCACAGCTCTATGGAGCAGTATCAGACTCATATTCTGACTAGAATTGAGTAGGACTACGTCAGGCTAGTGATTTTTATAAAAACAAACCAAAACGCCTCATCCACTGATGGTCATTTTAGGTTTAATGCCTCAATGGCAATAATACAACAATTTAAAATAAAAACATAAAGTATATATTGTTATGCAATTGTTGTCTTTGAGGTAACAGGAGGTTTCCGTGTGTGGTTTTTCTTCTTGTGACATAAGCTTATATCAAAAAGTCCTCTAATAAAGTTTCATATCCCTTTCTAAGTGCAGCGGAAAGGAAACCGATAGTTTTAAAAGTGGGTAAATATAAATAAAACAAGTTAACACTAAACAACACATATAAAAAAGGGTCATACTAAGTAACAGGCAAATAAACAAAGGTCAAACTCCATTTCAAGCTGAACATGACGGATGGTTGTAAGTAAGTAAGTAAGTGTTCTTGAAAGCCGTCCTACTTTCCACTTTAACCGAGACTTTATCATGTGGCAGCGATCTGGGCAGAGACGCCCTCGCCCTAGACACTTCCTCTAGCTCCTCTGGTAAAGCCTGGGGAGTTCCAAGGGCAGCCATAGACCCTTCAGTGTGTTCTAAGCTATTCCTTGGGCCTACTTCCTCTGAAACATACCTGGAACACCTTCTGAGGTAGATATCCAGGGGGCAGCTGGCACCGATGCTCAAGACACTTCAGCGGATTTCTCTCAATATGGAGGAGCAGCTGCTAATATTACAAGTAGTTCAGTCCCTTCCTTGGATGGCCAAGCTCCTTGCCCTATTGCTGGGAGAGTGACTTGTCACCCTTTCTCCCCATTGTATCCTGGATCTCTTTCTTTTCACCATGACTCAAATTTTATAACCATAAGCGAGGATAGAAACAGTAATGCAGCAGCTACATAGATATGTTTGTTTTGTGCAGAGGTATCAGACATAACATATGACTAACCAAATATCAAACAAAATGCAGCAAAAAAAAAAAAAAAAACTATAAATTATAATCGGGTAATTATTATGATTCAGATTTAAAAAAAATGTTTTTTTCATTGTATGTTTTAAAAATTCTATATTTAAATAGAACTGAAAATTGAATAAAAAACTGAACCCTTTAAGTAATCTTCTTCCAAAAACATATTCTGTGGTTTTTAATTAAAGATTCAGGTGAACATTTTTAAGGAAAGTTTATGTTTTAAAAGTATGTGGTAAGACTCATTTTTAACAGTGACATGTATTAACCTTTTGTGGTAAATGTGTGGAATAAACGTCTTAAAGCGTAAATTTTGTTTTCCCAGGTTGCTGTAAAAATGTATAAAAGACAATAAACCGATATAAAGTAAATAAACAGAGACTTAATTATGACTGTCTATAAAACATTTTTGTTTAATATAGATCATTAATACTGTTTAATGTTTGTATTTAGGCAGCAGTGATACTCTCAGGTGGAATGTTCAACTTCATCTTTCAATAGTTAGTATATTAACCATAAAAATTCCAACAAAGAAACTGTATAGTTAATTGTTTATTCACTTGAACATACCATAATTAAACACCCCTTATCAGAACTTCCTCTCTAATCAGAATAGAGAGAACAGGGAGGAAGAAAAGAGTCTCTGCATTCATTCAATTCTATTAAATTAGATATAAAGAGCAAATGCTAAACCCAATCAATGTGTATGTTATGCAGAACCAAAATGGAATCAGAAAACATAAATGTATAAATATGTGTGTAGATTTATTACAAAGGACTTATATTTACTGATTTATTTAGAAAATTCTAATATTTTGCTCATTTCTTTGCTCATGTACCGGTTGACACAGTATGATTAGTGTAGGTTAGGGATGAACAATTTCAGGCCCCAAAGCTTAGTATTCTGCAACTTTTAGATGTGTCCCTGGTCGAATGCGCCTGAATCAAGAAATCAGATGGTTTAGAGGATTCATGAGAAATTGACTGCACACGAAGGATGTATTTCGGCCATTTGATTCAGGTGAGTTGGACAGATCAGTTGTAGGAAAGCGGCACTCAAGCTCTTGGGGTTTCCATCCCTGGTGTAGACTGACCCTAAATGGTTTTGGCACCTATCATTTTTCAGCCACACGTCAGTACCCAATGGTCCCTGTCTGGCTACTTCTATAGCCTCTTTCCCTCTGAAAATACTGGCTTAATGCGTGTTTTTTAAACATGGGTCGAAACGCTAAAGATCAACATTTGGTTCCCTTCCCACTGGTAAAGGAAGCTGGGTCTAACCCCGTGCTGGCAAGCTGGTAGGCTTCTGCCCCCCCAGCAGCTGTATGTCTGGTGACACCATCGTGCTGGGATAGCTTTGATGATATCACCAGTGCGACAGATATCAGGAAAGTAAACAATGGAGAGCAACATGTAAGGAAGTCAGGGTGTAGTCATTGAGCTTTATTGTTTTGCTCCTTTATCTTTCCGAATCCCTCTCACCAGTGGTGTGCCATGTTTATTGAATGTAAACAGAGTTATTTTGGCTTGTTAGATCAGACGTGGCTGTACGGTGTGTGTTGACGTCCGTGCATTGTGCTCAATGGTATCACGTAAATTAGTGGTTCAACACAGCTCTAGTGTTCCCCACAGCATGCCTTTTAGAGCCGAGGTGATTATAACATGGGTTGTTTGCTGAGTCGTTTGACCCGGGAAGACATGCGTCAGTGAGCTTTTCCCACTGCCACTAAAAGCAGATTGTTTCCAGGTTAAACAGGTTTGTCGACCAGTGGGAAATGCGTATATGAACAAATTTTCATGCCCCTGCCACTGATGTAATATTATGCTTTTGGCTTAATTTCTTTCTCTATATTTAGTATACTTGTTAAATAAAATTTTTTTACTTGCCTGTGATCATATTTGAGATGATAATATCCAAAAAACATAAGGATCAAAATAAAATATCAGATTAAATGTCAAAAAAATTGTAAGACTATACCTATGAGCTCTCTAGTCTTAGCTTCTATCTCCCCAAGAAGGGTCTCAGGATTGGCCATGGACTTGTCTTCATCACAGGAGTAGTTCTCCAAGAAACGCTTATATTCTGGATCTAATGAAATAGATGAAATACAACAAAAAAGTTTTTGCAAATATTAGAAAACATCAGTGCATTTTGGTTTGATAAGAGTCTCTCTTTTTGCTTGTATTTTTGTACCTTCTTCAATGCTTCCAGCTTTGGCATCTTTCTTCTTCAGCTTCTTTTTGGAAATTTTCTGGAAAGGGGCAAACTCTACTACAGCAGGATACTCCTGGCCTGAGTAAATATTAAAATACTGGTTAGAATAACCTTTAATCGACCAGCTATCAAATAGTAACTATGGCAATAAATGCTCAATTTACCTTCCTAAATGTGAAAATTAGCCCTAAGCTTCTGTTTGCATTTCACATAACCAAATAATTTAAAGAGCCAGTCAACATTCAAGCCCAGCACTGTCAAAGCAAAAATGGGTTTAGAAAAATGAAAATACCCTTGTTGTCAATGAAGACATAACCATCAAATCGATCTCGAAACAGCAGGATATCTTCTGTGCTTTTGAAGTTTATATAAGCTCGGGAGAACAGGTGGGGATAAAGACTGTAAAGATTAACAAAAACTAGTCAATAGATGGGGGAAAAAAGCAAAATTAATAATAATATTATAATAAAACTCATACCTTTGATCTGCTGGAAAAAACTCAAAATAGTCATAAGATGGAAGAGGACTAAGATGCTCTTCGAGTTGGTCCTTTGACAGGTTAGGTGGAAGCCTTCTAATAACCACCTGAAAGATTAGAAAGGTTGTATCTACAATTAAATACGAAGTGTAAAAAATGCAGCTTAAGCGGATCAATAACTTAACAACCATAATTTAAACCTTTAATACAAGACCATGCCACAAATGTACTTATGATAACCTCCTTCGGAGTAATTCTGGGTGTCAAGATTTTTAGAGATATATTTAAAGAAAAACTCTGTTTATTTTAAAATGTAACCTTTAATTGCTGATAGAAAGAGACATTACTGAACTAAGTCATCTTTCATATATTTTTTTCATATATTTTTTAAAAGATGAAATTGTCCAGTGAGCTGTTTCCAAACAAAATTTCTTTTTTACACTTGTGTAAACAAAATTACAAATAAAATCTGCCTAAAGTCTCTCTAAAAAATATATAAGTTGGGGGATTTAAGATTTTTCTTACATAAAAGTTTATAGCATTTTTGGAAGTCAGCAATTTAAAGTAATTACAAATGCTTCCAGAAGACTGTAGAAGTAAGAAAAGTCAGAGACTAGAACAATAGTTGGTTTTATTGCCTGAAGGTTGCAAAAATGTATATCTATCTATCTATCTATCTATATATATATATATATATATATATAAATATATATATATATACACATATATACATATATACACATGTATATATATATATATATACATACATATATACACATGTATATATATATATATATATATATATATATATACACATATATATATATACACATATACATATATATATATATATATATATACACATATACATATATATATATATATATATATATATATATGTATATGTGTATATATATATATATATATATATACACATATACATATATATATATATATATATATATATATATATATACATATATATATATATATACACATATACATATATATATATATATATACACATATACATATATATATATATATATGTATATATAGTTTTTTTTTTCTCTAAAGGTTTTCCGTCTCTAAACTTTCCAGGTGAGATTGTACTCTTTAAAAATTTTATTTAAAAAAAAAAACATTTTATGGCTTTTCCTCAAGGCTGCATGGTAGTACAGTTGTTGGCACTGCTGCCTTGCAGTGTAAGGTCGTTCTTCATAGAGGTTGCATGTTTACCCAGACCATGCATCAGTGATGCTAAAGTCCATTTAAACATTTTTCATATAGTTTTGAGGACTTTTTCAGGACACACACCAACATATCAGTTCTGCTTCCAGTCTTAATCACTTAAAGGCATGGAATGTGCTTAACAGCACATTGATGGATTTTATTTCATAAGTGTTAGATTCTCAAAAAATCTACTAATTCAAAAACAACAAGGTAAGTTCAAATCATGTCTACAGCAATACCTAGTACAATGTATAATATGCAATTACTATTTTATACCTTGTGCAAAAACCTGATTCTTCTAATTTGATACCCAGTGCAATAACGGAATACATAAATACCTATCTATATGAAAACCCATGTAAATACCCTGTGCAACAGCCCTGTATACGTATGTGGAAAAACTGTATATACATCCGATGCACCTTTTTCTTCCTTTGGCACCTTCTTCTCTTTTTGACTATTTGAGCTGATGTAATGAGTAAATTTTTCCAGTGTGAGATCAATAAAGTTAATCAATCAACCAAACAAACAAACAAAAGACAACGAATGACAAAACAGGATACTATTAATATATCATTTAGTACTAAATAATGTGGAGGAGCAGAAATGCAGCTAAAACTAATAATGTTATCAAGTAACAGGAGATGTAACCTTTTGCAGTCAGTGTTTACAGGATTCTTTCAACCTTCACCTTTTCAGTTTAGCTTCATAGGAAAAAATAAGCCAAATCTTTATATTTTGGTTACAATTAAATAGCAAACAACGATTAAAATCAATGTGTTTTTTAGACTCGCTCCTAAAATCCCTGTAATCTGGCCGTGCTGTCCATCCTGTTGCTGTCCTTGGTGCTGAAACATCCCTTCCTCCCGCCGAGTCTCCATGTCTGCATTCCGCTCGTGAACAACAGCTCGACTACGTACCTTCGTGAAAACCTCCCTTTTCTCTTCTTTCAGCTTAGCACTGGCGGGGGCGTTTTCCTGTTCTCCTTGAACGTCTTTCAAATGAATTTCGACGACTCCTTTATCTTTACCCGCGGTCAGTTGGTCCTTATCAGACCTCATTTCTTCCCATCTCCCTCAAATTCGTTTGGTGTTGTTACCGAGTCCTCGCGAGACTGTAAGAGGCAAATATCGCGAGAGGCGAAAATACCTTTTTTTTTTTTTTTTTAACAGATCCCCTTTTATTTGGTTATATTTCTACTTCTTAAGTATAGTTCTTCATTTTTTTCTGTACCAATATTAATTGCAAATAAATTGCTGAAGTAAATGATCTAAAAGGGGAGTTTAATTTGAAACAGACAGGGTTCTGAGGTCAGTCTGTCTCAGCTGGTTGCAGACTGGTGGTTCTGTCCGGCTCACTTGTCACAGAGCTGCAGGCGTCAGTTTCTGCAGCCTTTTTCACCATCAGTCTTTTGTAATCTCGGCATGGCACTGAAAAGAAGCACAATCATAGCATATATCAACACTACCACATGATGGTTGTATTTTCCAGAAGCAAAAGATCAACTTATCTACCCCATATAGTTTACCATTGTAACCTAAGCAACTTACCATGGATAAATGCATGGTTTCCACTGCTGGTTTCCACAGGCAGCCTGGGTCCCTCTGGTGCTGACACCGAGCTATTCAAGTTGGGCACAAGAGTAGAGCAGGTATCTGGATCTTGACAGATTCGATCATTAGTGTAAGTGCCGGTCGATTGAGAAGGAGTACAGCCCATATCTCCTCTAATTAACAGGGATAACCTCCAATGGACGCAGTCCTGCTCTTAGGCAGATAACAGATATGGTCTGTATACAGGATTCAGGGAAGGTATCACCAGTTGCGGTTGGTGCGTAAATGCTCCCAGGGTGAGCCCCTCCTTCTGTTTTCCAATGCACAGCTGAACATAAGCCTTCTCCTACATCAAAAGCATGTTAATCTGCTAAACATTAAACCTGCTATATGGATCATAACTATGAATTCAAGTAAAAGGTAACCTTTCAAAAGTAAACTTCAATTTATCTCCAAGCATTATACTTTATTTACATTACACAAAGTAAACATGGCACGTTTTTACTTATTGTCCACCTTTGATGTTTGGAAAAACTTAATTAAGATGTTCTTTTTCAACATCAGCCTAAAAAAGGAAATTTTAAAAGAGAAATAATCAAATTTCATGCACTTTATCCCCAGATTTTAGGCCGCGAATCACAAACCAAATATACAGTCATTGGACTAGACAAGAATTGGAAAACTGGTTTAACTAACGGGTAACCACTTGAGTCCTACTTCATCTCCCGCCCCGCCCAACACAGGCAATACCCATAAAGAATTCTACAAAGCAGATACGCACCATGAATCACTCCGTCAGAAATACAAAAACAAGACATACCAACCTTTTAAGATAAATGCATGGTTTATTGTAGCCATAACAAAATTCACTAAATCTGATTATACTCAGCTGGCTCTTTCTTCAGAGTGAAAATCCACAGGTTAATTAGCAGGGAGGATCCTGCATCAGGCATTTACAAGTAACTTACATGTTCTTCTGATGTGAGGTGTAGGGCTGTGTTTGCTTTTGTCAGATGGCCACATTTCCATTGTTTTTAACCTAAGGTAAAACATATTCAACCCTTTGGGAAAAAAAAGGCATGTTTTCAGTTCCCCTCCTTTAAAGTGCATTCTTGTGAAATTACGGTCTTGACCATGTGCTGTACACAAATTCAGTCACTTATGTTAAAAATGTTCACAAGAGCATTCTTATACAAAATAACACACAGCATGGGGAATCCACATGGTGGAGGACAGCTGTTTTTTAAGTTGTGGGCTGACTGTTGTCCTCAGGATTGGATACGTGTACCTATGACAACCAGTTGCTACAACAGATCCACCACCTGACAGGATGAAATCACGTGCTGGTGTCTGATAAAGTGTCCAGCATCATGTCGCTCTCATACATATCACACTCCAGAGTTAACGACAGCCGTAGTGGCGTTTCCAGCATCATCTTTTCTTGATTGGATGCTGGCGTTTCCAATGTCGACAAGTTCGTCTCCTCAGACCTTGGCGTAGCTTGAAGCTCATTTGATTCTGGTTTGCTCAACATCTTCATCAGTGCTGGAGTGTTCAAACTGCTTCGAACCTTGTCATCGATGTCGGTGCCTATTTAAAAAGCATAAAATATCATTTTGCATGTTTATAAAGCTTTTTGTCTCTTCAATTTTTAATGGCAAAAATAAAGTTTGTTGACATTTCAGTTGTCAAAAAAGAAAACTTAAATGCAACTTTAAACAGTGAAGGGAAATTGTGTCTCAATCTTTCAGATTAAATGAAGTAGCAGAAAGAAAAAAAAGAAAACAAATTACATTTGTTGTTTTTAAATAACAAACCTATATACGCATCTGTGTCCCCGATGTACATTTCAATGCAATGGCCAAGCATGGTCACTGAGAATGTGTCGTCCCTTTTCAACCCAAGAGCCTGTCATAAAAAAGCAACAAAAAATGAAATTACTGCGGCATAAGATTTTTAAAAATCCAATCAAAATAAATAAAAACACAGAAATTTTTTATATCTAAACTGTAATCAAACATCAATAAAACAAATTTTGATTGTTCTATAATGTATTGTTCTTTATGCTTACAATCAGTTATCAATTAATCAGTTCATTAAAAGGCGCCCTGAACTTATTGATCGACAGCAATTAAAAGGTCAGTGGCCCATTTCCTTAAAACCTTAGTTTTTACTTACATAAATATGGTCCTTCCCCAACAAAGTATTTTTTTCCACAATATTGAGAATAAACAAACAAATATATATATATTGTAATTTAATGTTCCAGATGTATTCAATACTGACCGAATAAATCTTTTCTCACACATTATTAATCGTAGACACATTCCAAAACCTATTAGGTAACTAAATACAAAAAAAAGGAGTAGAATTGAACATGGAAAACACTTTTAATCCACCAGGAAAAGAAATGTAAAACTACTAACTAAAGACAGGGTATATGACTCTGATGTGGCGCCACACTATTTGCCACTATGTGTCAATGAAGTAAACAGTAACTTTGACACAACAGACCATGAATCAGTGGTGGGAGGCACAGTTTTGTTATCCTGCTTCCAAAAGGGGTGGTTGATGTTGTACTTAGAGGGTAGGGTTGTCAAAAGTATCGATACTCAAAAAAGTATCGATACTGAAATGTTGTATCCGGATACAATACTCATTTTCAAAAGTATCGAGTACCAGTTGCACCTAAACGGTCATTCATCTAAAGTGCAGAATAGAGGAAAATGCACTTTTTGAACACTGTGATTGAATAATTCTGTGCACTTTTCAGTTTCAGACTTTTTTGTAACAGTTGCAGCTGCTGAGAATTGTTTTTGTTTCTTAACCGGTTTGACTAGTGTCATTGTTATGTGTGCAAAGCATAGCCAAGTAAGGAAAACTTAATTTTAATTTTGTAAGTTTTTTATCAAGCTTGCTAAATACTGTGCACAGCAAACAACCTCAAAATGTTGTTCTTATTGCTTATTGTATTTATTTATTTATTGTATTTTAATTATTAATCAAAATATTTCTGTTGAAATTTTATCCTTGTGGTATCGAAAATGGTATCGAGTATCGAATATTTTCCTTAGTATCGGTATCGAGTTGAAAAGTTTAGTATCGTGACAACCCTATTAGAGGGATGTTAAAACTTGGCTCCATTACATGTATTAACTAATAACCAATTTTTATTGCCAACATGTCTTTTCTTTAAGGTTACGAAGGCTTTGTGTTGTGAATTTTAGCTTTCTTGTCATCCACCCTCGCCCTTTTAGCACATCGGTCATTTTTGGTTGGCTCATGGTGCTCTGCCATGCAGCACTGCTAAAATGACCCCAATTAGGTGAGAATCTTTTCTATTATTTATATGTACAGAGACACACACACACACACACACACACACACACACACACACACACACACACACACACACACACACACACACACACACACACACACACACACACACACACACACACACACACACACACACACACACACACACACACACACACACACACACACACACACACACACACACACACACGAAGTGGATTCTACATCCTTATTGCCATTAGTGTAAAATAATCATGCACTGCCTTCTGGGTTGATTCATGTTTGTTTTGTTTTTTTATCTAGCAGTCTCAGCCATCACTTCTTCTCTTGCAACTGCCTGTAAGGCTCTGATTTAAGATAAGCACTGGAGCCCTCTTCTGGACAGTGGTAATACTACAATTAATTAAATTACTCTTTTTAATCATACAAACCTAATTTTACTCCGATAAACCATAAATCAACAATCAATCATAAGTCAATAATTTGTAAGGCTGCGTACAATGTGTTTTTTTTAAAGTGAAATCCGACTGTAAATACTGTAAATACTTTCCCTATTCTAGCACGCCTAAAGGGAAACATATTTTCTCATTATATCATTAATATATCATGATGAAAATTTACACAGACTTAAGAAAGAAGAGGGATCAAGACTTTTAAACTTACTGTATGAAAGTAGTCTATTGCGCTTTCAAAGTCTCCCATGAGGCTGTGCACATATCCTATAGCAGAATACGTAGAGGCATGCTGTGGGATCAACACCAGCGCTTGACGATGATACTCTAGAGCCTGGTCGTACTTTCTGGAATATTAAACACCATTAAGAAACCTGTTATCCAAGGATTTAAAATAATTTAAAAAGTGAAAATTGCAACACAATTAACATTTTCTAAATTAACAGATCTTTTTTTTTTAAGGATGCACATTTTATTTTCCGACATCTTCAGAAGCTAAGCAGCGAACAGCAGATTAAAAATGAATGAACAGGTTCCAGATATAACTCTAGGGGAAAAAACATTTAGATAAAATTTTACTTATACCACAGATCGACAGATACAGTTTTTTGGGGCCAAAAACAACTATTTTGACATCAACTATTTTGACAATTAATCCCAGATATTAGCTGCCAATATTTTTGGTCTGATTATCAGAGCCAATATCAATGTTTCTTCCATCTATTTACATAATAAAATGACACATAAAAACAAAGTTTACACAAATTATTATTAAAAACAACAAAACAAACATTAATGGATAAAAA